GCGCCTAAACAACACAAAAGAAAATTAGATACAATGCAAAGATTCTACGAAAATTGCATGAATAATAAGCTTGTGTTAGTAGAACTTCAAACCTAAATTTAAGCGTACATATAAACTACATTAGGACTCACGTTTTATTTCAGCTTGACGACGCCTGTCTTCTGTTTCTAAAATAAAAGAAAATTAGACACTTCCTGAATAAGTTCGAAAGGGTCCACCCTGTATATATGTTATAAAACGTACGAAGTTACACATATTTGTAAGAGCTGGCAACCGCGCGACTATACAGGGTGAATCTAACTTAACCTAAATTCAGCAAATCAAAGGCTTTTTTGGAAATTTGGCCAGACACGTCGATTAGTCCTTCAAACTGTGATCTTTTTGATGTAATATACAGGGTGTCCCAAATTTGAGATATTGATTTTTTTAAATGGTAACCCGATTTTTTATGACTTTCTTAAAGACGATAAATATCAAGTTATACATGTGTGGCAAATTTCAATTTTTTTATTTCTTGTCTAATTTTTCGACAAATGGCGAACAGTCAACACCTGATCTCTTGTGGTACCAGGATCAACATAAGGCGTAAGTATCAACTTAAAAAAACCATCTTTATTACTCACCTTGTATGAGGTTCTGCAAACTATAGTCAGTTACTGGAAGCATTATGATAATTTCAAACAGATTAAAATTGAATACATACTCACGTTTATATTTCTGTAAAAATTCCTTTTGCAATCGTACTAAAAATATGTAAAGTTACATATTAGACAATGTTCTTTCACTAAATAATTCAGAACGTTACTGTAAAGCTGAAAATTTGCACTAATAAGCTCGCTGTTGGCCATTGCTTGTAACATTGTATAATGCAACTTATTGTTAGTATACAGAGTGTTCTTAAATACGATGTACGATGTTTGGCTTATTTTATTACTAATAGATCGTATAAACATATGTACGCAAGCGCTTCGTTACCGATCTACAGTGTGTTATAATAATCATACACTTTACAATTTGAACGTTTCCTTTATAAACATATACAAAACAATATACAGTGTCAAATGCAAACTGTCAAAAAGATCGCAGATAGGAAAAAATTACAAGGGATCAAAAAAATGTTAAACAAACCAGAAGATTAATTTCTCATCTCCTGCCAGTGACATTATCAATGATGTAAGCTCTTCAACATACCTTATTTTCCAAATTTAAGCTAAATATCTCAAAGTTAAAAAATGGTGAAATTATAACACCCTGTGTAAGAGACGTTTTTGACAACAACGCTTTTATATGAATTTAAAATCTCAGGCATGTAGATAAGTTCAGATTGATAAAAATGAGATGGCGTCTACGACATTTTTTATATTATGTAGTCTTCTCCATGTTTGTTTTAATAAAAAAGTATAGTGTATTTGAATTACTCCCTTCCGTATTTACATCATATTTAGGAATACCCTGTATGTGCACAGGAAATTTTCATTTTTGTTAAAGTTGGTAGTAGTCATGGGAGACACTATTTTTTATTAAATTATGTTTATTGGACAGTACAACACAAAAATTAAAAATTGCAATCTTCATATCACTACTTGAGTTGCCTATTGTGCAACAGTTAATTTGTTAATAAATGATTGTTGTTATCCATACCGGGTCACTAGCTTCTTTTTTAAAACTGACTCGGGACATAGTGTGAAGGCATTTTTTCAGCGGCAAACTCTCAGATTGTCAATAACGAGCTCCGAATCAAAAAATTAACGTATGTAACTTACCCGCCTCCTCAAATGAGATTGGTCCTTCAGGGAGAGTGAAGTCATGCGATCCTACAAACCAACGTGTGAAAATGTTGAAAATACTTTTTCATCTCACCATCACGTCTAACTCGTTTTTTAGCCACAACATTGACGGATCTTTCTAATTTTGTCGGGAGACTTTGGCAAATGTAAATTCCAGCGTTTGACTCGGTTAAGTTTAAAGTAGCAGTGTTACTTGAAATTGTGTCCTTTTGTTTAAAATGTTTATCCTTTGGTAGCCAGAGAGCCGAATGATGTGAAGGGTGTGCTATACAATCGATGTATACATTTTGTCCATTATTTACCGTGATCGTGTCTGTCAGTAGTGGCTGCTTGTTTACCATAATAGTTAAGTAGGGTTCACTTTCTGAAAAGATACCACTTAACAGATACAAATACTTTGTAATGCTTTACCTTTTGAAAAAACATTACATGTAAACAAACCAGTAATAAAGATAATTTTTTGGACCGGGGTGGTCATTTTATAAAAATTGGTACACATTTTGCAAATACTAGGCCATGGTCATGCAAACCTAAAATCGGTGAATCACAGCAGTGAATTGCGTACATATTTGCTGTTTTGGCCTGGGAGTGTGCCAAAAAGAAGGTTCGTAACCTTGTGACCCATACTGATGTACAGAGTGTTACAACATATCGATGACAAGTTCAAATAATCTCAATTGCAGAGGTTCATCAACTTAGCGTGACAACTGACAACTTCAAAAAAATAAGTGGTGACTATTATGTATAGGTATACTAGCTTTTTGCCGTTAATTAACTATGGTGCACATCTATATCTCTGCTATGGTGTAATGATCTTAAGGTAAGTTCATAGCTCTCCGTTCATACGTTTCCGTTTGTCCGTTAGCCAACCAGAAGACAGCAAATTTTTAAATCGTACGTCGTCCGTTTACGACGGAAAAGTTGGTTGAAGTTGAACATTTACGTTTTTAACAAGAGTGAGGTTATGTTTGGTACGTTAACAGCGTTCGCCTATTCGTTCTTCACGGTAATAACCAGATAGCAATGTGTTCTTACTTTCGTACCATTTTTACATACTGAAAATGACGGAGAGTACAGTACAAAATAAAGTATAGGTTATGGTTATACTTGCAAATGTACAATGTGGACGGATTGCTATGAACCTTAACAAAATGTACTATTCGTTTGACGGATCAACGCAACGGATGAACCAATGAATAAAGAATACCAGAAGGAGCATTAATCAGTTGTATACGAGAGAGAGAGTGCGACGGAAGTCGGCCATTTGCAAAAGCCACTTATGAGCCATTTTTGTTGTGGCTGTTGCAGTGACATAAAAAGAATGGTTAGTTGTTGTGCTTGTGGTTGCTCCAAAACAGAAAAAAATAAAACTTTGGGAATTACATTTCATGTGTAAGTATTGATACCAATATTATTTTTACATAGTACATGTAAATTTACACATTTTTTATCGGAATGTAGTTTGAGGTTAGTTAAACAAAAGTCATATGCGGAGTAGACACATGGGGGTTTATATTGTTTTCGTGTAAAATTCTTTATAATTGTATCCTTCTACAACTGTAAGGTAGGTACGCCACTGCAACAGGAAACTACTGTCCTCCATTTGCAAAAGCCATCGCGGCCGCACGTATATTGTTGATATTCTCGGTATTCTTTATTCATTGGGATGAACGGAGAGCTATGAACCCACCTTTAGCGTCCTACTATCGGGCTAACGCCAACTTCAAGTCACACCGGACTATCACACCCATATTCTGTAGTAGCGGGAATGCCAAACTAACATGGCTGCCTATTTGAACATTCTCGCTTACATTTCCCGCGAGAATCTGTCACTCGGAGCCACTCCGAGTGCACTAAGATCGTGATCGTCATGTGGGACACCTACGGGTTCTCAGCAGGCACTGAGGGCGTTTTATGGGTAAGGAACACCAAAAGCAATAGCTGATTAAGTTTATATTGAAGCTAATACCAAAACGGTGTCCCTGCAGAGGGTCTTAAGTGGTTCTATACTACTCCGGCATTTACCTTACGAATTAGGAAAACTGCAAGAAAACCTAATTCCGAGTAGTCCTATAATGAACAACATCTAATGTACAGCACTTTTGAGCCCTCTCGAAACCGGGGTAACTACTACAAACACGATATGAGTAACCAAAATGGGATCGAGCCATTCCCCAGGTATTACAACACATACATCGGACAAAACTAAGAGATGTCAAATATACCTCGCCGGGCGGGAGGATTACCCAGGATCAGTGGAGACCCTGTAGTCCTGGGCTAAAGTTGTTGGGTTCGGAACGAGGGAAAATGTTAGTGTTAGGTTCACCAAGGCCCGTATAAACTTGAATAGCTCGATCCCCTCTAAACAAGCACACTTCCCTCTTGATTACTCACAGTCCCAAATAAGCAAATATAATGAAATGCAATGGAATAATCGAGAGTGACTAAAAAGCACAATACACAAATTAAATATGTACACATGCAAGTATGTAAAGCACAGATACAGCCCTACCGACAATGAAACATGATTGCCAATACCAACAAAGGTTACACATTAAAGGTACAAGTGATTGAATTCAGTAAGTACATAAGTAAAGGTTACAATCTGCATTCAAGTTACACACATTTATAGATTAATTGAATAAAGCAAATACCTCACCTGATATAACAAAGCAAAAGCACACAGCAATGATTAAGGTATCACAAAATATTTCAAGACAAGCCGTACTTTACACTTCAGCCGGTTACAAGACAAAGACCATGAACACACATGTTAAATCCTATTTATTTGACCAACCCAAGCCACGCGGTAATTTGATCTGCTAATACCCCTAAACCACCCGAAAATCGCCCATTCCCTGCATTTCACGCATTTCTAAGAAAAAACTGGACTGCAGGTGTTTGAAATGGTAAACAGATGTGGTCTTCCAAGAAATTCCATCCGTCTCATCTTCGCTCTCTTTCCCTTTTCTGTAATCCCACCATATTTCTGTTGGCAGCTTGTGTAACTAACATGATGTATAGGGTGCTTCGTATCGACAATCATATTCACAGGACGTTGCTAAGGTTGGGGCGTCTCATTGTAGCTTTTTTAACCATTGCAAAGTAACTGAGACTAGGTTTACAGTTAAAGATAGTACAAGATTTTTCTTTAAAAAACAAAATCACGTTAGACTCACATTGTGTAAGACCATTGTTTAAATTTAAACAATGGTAAGACATATGATAAATTGAACTAAGCGACATCTGATAAACAAACGTAGTTGAATCGAAATGACGGATGACTCAAAACGACTACCCTTCTCCTAACGAAGTAAGGTGATCTAGGACTTACGATTCTTAACACGCGCACCTTATACACCAATGTCGAGCGAGCCGAAGGCGAGTTCGGCATAGCTAGGGCTCTGACGTAGACCCGCCCCTCTACGGCACACGGCGACAAACGACGTTTACCAAGCACACATTACACTTTTTCAATCATACATCCAACCTAATAAAAAACAGCGATCTTTGCGAAAACGTAGAACTATTACCATTATATTCCACCCGAAATATAACAGTCAAATCCCTATTGGTTTTCAGAAGTTATTTTGTTGCATAAAATTAGGCGCCCTTCAGACGAGATTTTGTCATTTAAGTAGACAGGAAAAAAATACACGTAAATCCGTATGTCTACTTCTAAATAAATAGCACAGTATAATGAAAGCTTTTTCTCAATGCATTTTTAAATGTGTTGCTTTAAGGGCGGAAGATTGGGTATTTGAAAATTTAAAATCGTACTAAGCGTTTCAATATTCAACATTTGAAGATGACGAGGAATTTTGAGGCAGTTCATAATGAGAGCGCACGACAAAAGTCAGTCGACTGTATATCGATGATACGCAAAAACTATTCAAAAGTGTGCCTAATTAGTGGAAACAGGAAAAAGGGTTCCAAAGGAAGTTAATAAAACATCTGCTATTACAATTTTGTTACATTAAGTGGATTTTGGCTGATAAAACTAGGGTGAATTTGCATAAATTAGAGGGGACTCGCGTCGTAGGCGTGCTGGAATCACCTTACCAGAACCGATATAAATAATAATTAACGTTTTAGAATGGGGGAACGCCGAATTGAGGCACAGGTACACCCCCGTCGTCATAAAATTACTCATAACATTCGAAACAGGCACAGAAGTTATTGAACCAACATGCGGGCCGGTTGTGTTTGTATCGTCGCCGGTTAGCGAGATGATTTTTAGTAACTCCAATGTGGAATTGACCAAAGTGCATTTCTGTGATATCGGCGAGGGCGGACGGCGAACGCAGATATCCATCATTTCCAAGGATGAGCCCGATTTCCGCGTCCCGCAGCATTCGCTCATTAAAAAGAACATATTCGGGCACAGGTGGGTGCTGACAATTAACGAGGCCGGGAACAAGAAGAGCAAGCACCGACTGAGAATTGTCTACATTCTTGTATTCATTTGCATTATAATAGCGGTCAGCTTCGGGATTTTCTTCTCGATTGGTGAGTGAAAATTTCAGTTGCAGTCGATAGTGGCCCCCCCTTCTAGATTTCAGCGTGAAACTTGAACAGACCGAATTAATCACTAATGTCAGTATCGATGTGAGTTACGATCATTGCACTTGTCGAGCGGACGAGATCTGTCTGAAGACGGTCGAAGATCAGAGACCGGAATGCAAACTCATCGCAGATCACAAAGACCCGACCGGTTGCGGGGGTTTGTGTAAGATCGACCTGGAGTACTGTAAACGAATTGATCCCGACCTGGACGTGTTTCAATGTCGGCCGCTGATCAACATCCTCAACTGTACCGAGGGTCTGTTTAATTGCGGCAATCGTTGCATTATGGCGAGTATGAGGTGCGATGGTATAATCAACTGTAGCAACCAGGCGGACGAGAGAAATTGCGGTAGTGACCCGAGACATTCTGGTCGGTGGAATAATTTCTATAATTTCAGAGTGTGATCCGAGTACACACTTTCACTGTGGAAATTCGACGAGCTGTCTCGAGTTGAGTAAACGATGCGATGGTAAGGCAGACTGCTGGGACAATTTCGATGAAATCAATTGTCGTAATGGTAAGTGGGGTTTTAGTTTGACAGAAAATTATCATTATTATCACAAAAGGATTGTTGAATAATTTGCGGTTTTGAAAATAAGTCCCCTAAAAAAGTTACCTGGTCTAACCATTTTAACCGAAACACCCTGTATATTTTAATCTAAACAGATAGACTACTAAATTCTCTTTTCAACCATATATCCCCTAGGAATGATATTCAAAAAAGATTAAAAAATGCAAAAAATTTTTGATTAAAAAAAATTTTTTTTGAATATTTTTGGACTAATGAATTTTTTAGTGTGATAATTTAAAAAAAAAGAATGTAATTATGCTCTCTTTTTAGAATGCAATATACAGGACCTTCCGTTTAAAAAATGAGGTTAGGTGCGACAACTTTTTTATCTGACCGTGTATACTTATTTTGAAAACGACAGATGAATTAACAATAAAGATTTAACATAAACATTTTATGTGCCTCTTTTAAGTAATTTTTTTATATTCCCCCGTATGTATTAAAAGATCGAAAATGTTGAAATTTTAATTTTACCAGTGTACTAGTATAACTAAACGTTGAGCCATGACTGTTAGTGCTATCAAAAAAGGCTGTTTTTGGTTCAAGTTTAAAATGGAAAAATCCAAATTGATAAATATTTCCCTCGCTTAAGAGATACGATGGAAAATGAAAAAATTGTCAATTTCAAAATGATCCTGTATTTTATTCGTTAAAAGAGATAGAGAAAAATGTTTATTACAAAATATTGTTTATATTGATTGTTCAATAATCTGTGGTTTTCAAAATAAATATACAGGGTCAGGTATAAAAGTTGCCGTATCCAACTTCATTTTTTAAATGGAACACCCTATATATTTTAATCTAAAAACAATTCAATTCTCTTTTCAAATTTATAACAATAAATTTAGTATTGATTCAAAAAGATTCAAACATTTTTTTTTAAAAAATGAAAAAATACAAAAATGTGAATTTTTTTGAATTATTTCAACCTTTTTTTAAAATCTTTTTGAATTTTTTAATCACTTGAATCTTTTTAATATCCTAGATATGCTATATTTTCGAAAAGAGAATTTAATATGCTGGAACAGATTGCATATTAATAAATAGCGAAGCCAACCACAACCACAAAATCTCGATTTCTTATCTCAAAATCTTAAAATAACAAATTTCCAAAGTTTTAAAATGTTTAATATCTCAAAATTTCAAATTTCAAAAACTGTAACAAACAAAATTACTAAACTCTTAAAACCTCACATTAAAAAAACTTAATATCTCAAATTCCTAAAATTTCGAAAGCATCAACTCTCAATTTCTCATGACCCCAAAATCGCAAAATTTAGTTTATTTTTGTTCTTATTCCAAAATTTAAAAATTCCAAAAGCCGAATTTCTCAAAATTTCAAATATTTTGAATCCCCAAAATTTTTAAAATCTCAAAATGTAAACTTTTTAAAAACTTAGAATCTCATATTCTTAAATTCCCATATCTCAAGTCTCCCTTATATCAAGAAGCCCAAAATCTCAAATTCTGAAAATTTAGTTTATTTTTGTTCTTATTCCAAAATTTAAAAATTCCAAAAGCCGAATTTCTCAAAATTTCAAATATTTTGAATCCCCAAAATTTTTAAAATCTCAAAATGTAAACTTTTTAAAAACTTAGAATCTCATATTCTTAAATTCCCATATCTCAAGTCTCCCTTATATCAAGAAGCCCAAAATCTCAAATTCTGAAAATGTTAAAAATCTCAAATTTCCAAAATTTTCAAATATCAAATTTTCAAAAACTTACATTTCAAATTTTTCAAATTTTTAAAATCTCAAAATTCTCAAAAGCTCAAATTAAAAAATCCATATCTCAAATTTTCGAAAACATCAACCCCCAATTTCTCAAAATTTCACTTTTGAAGATTCTAACAATCCCAAAATATAAAAATTACAAAACCTGAAATTCCCAAGTTCATAAAATCTCATTTTCTCAAGATCGCAAAATTACAAAATTCCCGTGTTTAAAATGAGAAATTTCTCAAATATTTTGAATTCCGGAAATTTTCAAAATCTCAAAATGTAAAAGCTTAGAATTTCAAATTCTTAAATTCCTAAAAGTCCAAACCAATTCAATATCCCAAATCACCCTTATTTCAAGAAGCCCAAATTTCAAAGATACCAAAATTTGTAAAATTTCGAAGTCTCTCAAATTCCAAAATTTTTGAAATCTCAACATTTTCTACATCTTAAAATTTAAAAACTTAATATCTAAAATTCCTAAATTTTCGAAAACATCAATTCCCAATTTCTCAAAATATACCAAAAAATATAAAAATTACAAAATCTTAAATTCCCAAGTTCACAAAATCTCATTTTCTCAAGATCCCAAAATTTCCAAATTTAGAAAGTTCCAAAATTGACTCAAAATTTCAAATATTTTGAATTCCCAAAATTGTCCAAATGTAAAATTCTTAAAAGTTTAGAATCTCAAATTCTTAAATTCATTAAATTCCAATTCAATATCTCAAATCACCTTTATTTCAAGAATCCCAAAATCTCAAATTCTAAAATTTTCAAATATGAAATTTCCGAAATTTCAAAAAAAATTTCGAAAGTCGTTCAAATTTTTAAAATCTTTAAACCTCAAATTAACTCGACACTCCTATTCCTAAATTCCTAAATTTTCGGAAACATCAACTCCCAAGTTTTTAAAAATTCCAAAAGCTGACTCTCAAAATGTCAAATATTTTGGATTCCGACATTTTCAAAATCTCAAAATGTAAAATTCTTAAACGCTTAGAATGTCAAATTCTTAAATTCCTAATATTCCAAAATTCTTACATTTCCAAAATTTTCTTATACGGAATTCCAAAATTTTAAAAATTCCTAAACCGTCTTAAATTCCTAAATTCTTAAAATTTCAACATTTTCAAAACCTTAAAACTTCAAATTAAAGAAACTATACCTCATCTGAAATTCCTAATCTCATTTTCTCAAGATCCCAAAATCATGAAATTCCAAAGTTTTTAAAAAATCCAAAGGCTGATTTTCTCAAACCTTTTGAATTTTCAAAATTTTCAAAATCTCAAAATATAAAATTCTTAAAAACCCAGAATCTCAAATTCTTAAACTCCTAAAATTCCAAATCCTTATTTCAAAAAGCCTAAAATCTCAAATTTCCAAAATTTAAAAAAATCCCAAATTACCAAAATGTTTAGATATGCAATTACCAAAATTTCGAAAACCGTCTCTCAAGTTCCCCAATTTTAAAAATCAAAAAAAATTTTTTTTAACTATCTCTAAGTTCCTAAATTTTCGGAAAAATCAACTCCCAATTTTCCAAAATTTCAAAAATACCAGGTTTTCAAGATTTGATCAATCACAACGTATCATCCTCAAAATAAAAAAATTACCTGAACCTCAAATTCCCAAGTTCACAAAATCTTATTTTTTCAAAATTACAAAATTCCCAAGTTTAAAAAAATTCCAAAAGCTGACTTTCAAAATTTTAAATATTTTGAATTAATTTTAAATATTTTGAATTAGGTACCACAATTCTTAAAAGCTTAGAATCTCAAATTCTTAAATTCCTAAAATTCGAAACCAATTCAATATTTCAAATAACGCTTATTTCAAGAAGCCCAAAATCTCAAACTTAAAAAATTTTAATAATCTCGCACTTCCAAAATGTTAAAAATATCAAATTTGCAAAATTTTCAAATATGAAATTTCCAAAATTTCAATAATTCCCAAACTTTCGAAAACCTCCAAATTCCAAAATTTTTAAAATCTCTTCTCAAATTTCTAAATTTTGGAACATCAACTCCCATTTTCCCAAGATTTAAAAAAACTTCGGTTTTTAAGTTTTTAACAATCCCAAAATATCATCCACAAAATATAAAAACTACAAAATATGAAATTCCCAAGTTTACAAAATCTTATTTCTCAAGATCCCAAAATCACGTATTTTATACATTTTTAAAAATTCCAAAAGTAGACTCAAATTTCAAACATTTTGAATTCTCAAATTTTTTGAAATCTCACAATGTAAAATTCTTAAAAACGTAGTCTTAAATTCTTACATTCCAAAAACTCCGAACCAATTCAATATCTCAAATGGCCCTTTTTTCAAGGAACCCAAAATCTCGTTTCCAAAATTTTAAAACTCAAGATTTCCAAAATTCCCATATTATCGAAAACCGTCTCCCAAATTCCCAAGTTTTTAAAAATTCAAAAACTGAATTTCACAAAATTTCAAATATTTTGTATTCCCAAAATTATTATACATTTATTATTAAAAATTTATAAATTATTAGTGCCTACCAGGGACGCATCCTCACGACAGTTGACTAAATCCTGGGAGAGGCGGCGACGCCAGGCATATGTCAAAGTTTCAAGTTTCAATTATTATTAAATTTCAAATATTTTGAATTCCCAAAATTTTGAAAATCTCAGGTGACCAATCCTAAACACTAAATGCAGTTACTCAAAAAATCGACCAGCCTTACATTTTCATCTCTCTTTTTGTTAGCAGGTTGTCCCAATCACAAGGTGCCGTGTCACAACGGACAGTGCGTCCGAAAAGAAAATATCTGTGATGGTATCTACCACTGTATGGATAAGTCGGATGAACTATCAGGATGCGAATTACACAAATAGCTATAGATAAAATACAATATTTATTTTTAGAATAACATTAATAAAAATATATTTTACTAATCCTCAGTCTTTATTTTACACCTACTTAAAACTTCACCTAAAAACTTGGACAGAGCCTAAAACCGACCAAAATGACCAAGGTGAAAAAAAAAAGGTTTACCCACCTGATTGGCGTTACAATTTAAAACTTGTGAGAGGATTTCGGCGTGGGTCAACAGCTCGCTTTGTAACAGCGCATCGATTAAAACTGCGAAACAATTCGTCGAGCGTTCAGGTACGGAAGACATCGAAAGGACAAACATGTTCCTTGGCGAGAAAATCGTCTTGACCAATTCGTCGAGATTGCCGCACGCCCTGTATAACACACAGCACATTGTCACAACATCCGTTGTTATACTATCCGGCGAATGGGCTACTAAAATTCGAAATGCGGATCAACGGTTAATGACGCCCCGTACTCACTTGCAAGAATAATGAAATCCAGAAGCAGTTTATTAATCGCTAACGTGATGCAATCGTTGATGTCGCATCGCCCCTCGAAGCTCGTCCTGATCGATTCTAAAAGGGAAAAGATTTCGACTTGTGTAACCGGCTGCCCTTCGACGGTCCTCCAACATAATTCCTGAAAAACAACGGTTAGTATGTTTAAGCTGGTCGTAAGAGGTACCGACACGAAGCAGTTCCATGATTTTCATTCCGCTATCCGTTGATCCGTCGTGCTTGTCGCTTTTTCCCAAAGACGGCAGCCCGAATTGCGGTTTCGCCTTGGTCTGCTGCTTCAGCTTCTTAATTTCGTTATCAAAGTAATTGATGAAAATATCTGTTACAAATAAATACAGTGTAATTAAGTTACAAGTAGAATCTATAACGTTTGCATCATAAATAAAGCAGACTTGATTTAAAGATATAATTCAGGTAACGTATCAATTTTGTCTTGAGGGGATATTTAAATTTGGCGCTTTATTTTCGAATTTATCTTGTCAGAAATTTACCCTTTCCGCAGTGGCCGATGAGATTGCGTTCTAAGTGTGATTGAGCGTCTTTTACACGTTTGATAAAAGTTGAGAGTTTGGTATTGGTTTGAAAGTTGCGTGCTAGCTCTTTAATTGTGGACTTAGGATAGAGTTAGTACCTCGGCCGAGGAGGGCGCGCACCGCACATATAAGGTCATTGACCCCAAACTGTCAAACTACATGTTCGAGGTTATCCCAGGTCAATTACCTCAATTGTGGTGTCAGAATTAATTTTCAATTGCATACAAACTCAATGACTGCATTTCCTCATTGACCCCATAAATTTTCAAGGTCATTGAACTCTATTGTGATCCGAGGTCATTGACCCCATACATTTTCAAAGTGATCTGATGACATTAACACCACTTTTTTGGGTTGTCAAATTACATTTTCAAGGTCATCCACGGTCATTGACCCCATAAATTTTCAAGGTCAGCAGAGGTCATTGACCCCATAAATTTTCAAGGTCATCCGGTGGTGCTAACTTAATTTTTGTGGTGTCAAATAACATTTCCAAAGTCATCCGAGGTCATTGACACCCCAGAAAATGATGGTAGTGACCTCGGATGACCTTAAAAATGTATGGGGTCAATGACCTCGGATGGCAAAAATGTAATTTGATACCCCCAAAAAAAAAGAGTAGGAAATGCCCTAAAATCACAAAAGGCGTCAACGACTTCGGGTGACCTTGAAATGTATGGGGTCAATGAAGAAATGCAGTCATTGATCTTGTATGCCATTGAAATTGTAATTTGACAACACAAAAATGGGGGCCATTGAACCTGGATGATATTTAAAATGAATTTCGACACCATAATTGAGGTCATTGACCACAGATGACATTGAACATGTTACTTGACACCACAATTGGGGTCATTGATAATTTGACACCCCAGAAAATGATGGTAATGATGACCTTAAAAATGCATGGGGTCAATGACCTCGGATGGCCAAAAATCTAATTTGACACCACAAAAATGGAGTCAATGCCCTAAAATCACAAAAGGGGTCAACGACTTCGGGTGACCTTGAAATGTATAGTGTCAATGAAGAAATGCAGTCATTGATCTTGTATGCCATTGAAATTGTAATCTTACAACACAAAAATGGGGGCCATTAAACGTGGATGATATTGAAAATGAATTCCGACACTATAATTGAGGTCATTGACTTCAGATGACATTGAACATGTTATTTGACACCACAATTGGGGTCATTGATAATTTGGCACCAAAGAAACTGATGGTAATGACCTCGGATGATCTTAAAAATGTATGGGGTGAATGACCTCGGATGGCAAAAAATGTAATTTGACACCCCAAAAAAATTGAGTCAATTCCCTACTCACAAAAGGGGTCAACGACTTCGGGTGACCTTGAAATGTATGGGGTGTGAAGAAATGCAGTCATTGATCTTGTATGCCATTGAAATTGAAATTTGAGAACAGAAAAATGGGGGCCATTGAACGTGGATGATATTGAAAATGAATTCCAACACTACAATTGAGGTCATTGACTTCAGATGACATTGAACATGTTACTTGACACTATAATTGGGGTCATTGATAATTTGACACCCCAGAAAATGACAATGACTTCTGATGACCTTAAAAATATATGGGGTCAATGACCTCGGATGGCCAAAAATGAAATTTGACACCCCAAAAAAATGGAGTCAATGCCCTAAAATTACAAAAGGGGTCAACGACTTCGATTTGGCACCCCAAAAAATGTAATGTAAAGTACAGTTTGCCCTTTGAGTTTTACCGCGACCTACTTTTCAAGGTCACCGCCGGCGTGGCAACACGACTTTCACCTTGGCCTAATTTTCAAGGTCACCACGGTGACGCGACTTTTACCTTGACATAATTTCCAAGGTCACCGCCACATAACCTTGACCTACTTTCCAAGGTCACTACCGGACGGCGAACGACTGATGTTCTAGGGGTAACGGCCACGAAAGCTCCTTGGTACGCGAGGGTATCAGGGGCCTGCTTGTAAATTTTCACTTTGCGCAGCGCCATCTTGGATCCTCTATCTTAGAATCTTTTTCTTATATAGAGCAGAACCATCAAATCTTCCTTTCTCTTTTTTTAATGGATCAGTATCAGTTCAATAAGAACAATATTTCAGGGTCCAACATGGCGGATCCAAGATGGCGAATCCGAGTTGGAGGATTACATAAAAGATACACAAAATCGCAAAAACGCGTTTTTTCGCAAGTTGCTCGAAAAGTAGTCCTGCTTCCTCTCCCTCGAAACGCCCTCAATCAATAGCGCTAAAGGGCCCGCGTAAAAGGTATCTTTTAATATTCGCACCGCTAACCATTCGCCCCCCTCCGACGAAGGGGAGGGAGACAGTTTTGAACGAAATGTCGACAATATTTAAGGCAGCTCAGTCGCATCGCTGATGATAGGTTTTGAGAAAGTCGCCGACGTCTTTCCTTTGACTCTTCTTCGCACTCCTCCACTACTCCCCCCCCCCCCCCCCCCCCACACTTTCCTATTTTGACATTTATTCGGAAACGCCAAGGGTTAGAAAGATGCGGTCTTTTACTTTGGTCTCGTATTCGTATCCTCCGACTCCACGACCCTCTCCCTCCTCCTCCTACCCCACCAGGTAATAAATCACTCTTTCATATTTTGGCATTTATTCGGAAACGCTGAGGGTTAGAACGATTCGGTATTTTACAGTGGTCTCGTATTTCTACGTTTCGGCTCCACAACCCCCCCCCACTTTTTCATAAAGGCGTTTTCGAACCGATACCCCCCGGTTTTTACGTTGGATTCCTATATCGATTGGTCGCGTTCTACAATCGATGGCGATTTGAATGAACGCGCGAGGAGAGGCGGCGTAGCCAAACGGTGAATTCGCTCGTGTGTTTTAATGTTCGAGGCGAAGCCGATAAATGTGTCAACTGTTCTATACAAGCGTGAGACAATGTGGCATCTCCCCACAGGTCATATGTTAACCACCCTCAAAACGCAACTTTCTGATTTATAATCAAAACTTTTATGGCAGGTCGCCTTAATAAAAGCAAACAAAATGCATGCGCGAAACACGTACTGCGCATGCGCAAGCTTCTTCTAATAAAAGTACCTACACAAAATGGAAGGACCAAAAAGCGTACTGCGCATGCGTAATAGACAACTTTATATAAGTGATATTCCAAAAAAACAATAGAGGAACGTACCATAAACAATTCGAGCAAATTCCTCCCCATATAATCAAGTTCTCTATTGCGTACGTTGTCGCGTTTCGTTTCATGCTATCGAATGTATGGAGGAGGAGAAGAGGAGGAAAAATATGAAAAGGGGGGGGGAGGTAAGAAAAGGAGGAGTAGAAGAAAAAAGTACCAACCTTGCGTCACGTGAGACTTCACCCATTCGTCCACCCGTTTGCGGCACATGCGATGCGTAAGAAAAACGCACACGTCCTTCGTTTGTTGCAAAACGGTCGACGAGAGTAGCGCTTCCATCGCGGCCGATATTCGCAAGTTTAAAATCACCTCCGCCTTTCCCCCGAGCACGTTGAGTAAATTCGCGTGCGAGCGACCGGCGTACGTCTGCAATTTATCCTGGAAGCAAACGGACCAATTCCAAGATTAGTTTTGTCGAACGCCTTCGTACCGCTATGTCGGCCGACGAGATGTCGACTTCGTGCCGTAATTTGCTCATGGCCTCCTTCTTGTACGACGGAACGATCTCGTAACAAATTTCCTTTATGCAGCCGGACGCCACGCGCTCGCTCACGAATTCGACGGTTCTTTTAACGGAATCGGGTTGGGTGCAGAAAAACATGTCCTCTAGCTGACTCTAGAAGGCAAAATCAAAAATGTTTAGAGTCACTGCAGTCTTTAACTACAAATCGTGCTGATGTAAAATTGGCAACGCCGCGAATAAATTTTTTGACAGACACCTAATTCATTTCTTAGGCATCGACAAAATTGTTGCATAAATAATGATTTTGTGATCTTTCCTTGGAAATCGAGCAATCGAGATTAGTCTTTTCCCCAAGAAAATGGATGCATAAATATCGATTTTGAGAAAAAATATTTTGGTCGCCACAAATATACACGGATCATTTCTTGGGCATTGAGCAATCGAGTTGGGCCCTTTTCCTACGAAAATTGGTGCATTAGATACGATTTGGCCATCTTTTGGGGACAAATATGGGTCTTCTGTGCATCAAGCAATCGAGTTTGGTCCTTTCCCCAAGAAAATTGGTGCATAAGAAACGATTTTGACACTCTATGGGTGCAAATATTTTAGTGGCCAAAAATATATATGGACCTTCTTGGGAATCTATCAAACGAGTTTGGCCCTTTTCCCAAGAAAATTGGTATGAGAAGCGATTTTGACATATTTGGGTACAAATATTTTTTGGTCGCCAAAAATACACTTAGGTCACTGCTTGGGTATCAAGCAATCGAGTTTAGTTTTTTTCCCAAAAAATGAATGCCTAAATAATGATTTTGAGTAAACATATTTTGGTGGCCAAAAATACACATGTATTGGGCATTGAGCAATCGAGTTTGCTCCTTTTCTCAAGAAAATTGGTGCACAAGAATATGACATCTTTTGGGTTTATATATTTTGGTCACCCAAAATGCGCACATGAACCATTTGAGCATCAAGCTTTGGCTTTTGGCCCTTCTCCCAAGAAAATTGGTGCGTAAGAAACGATTTTGACATATTTGAGTACAATTTTTTGGTCGCCAAAAATACTTACACTTGGATCACTTCTTGGGTATCAAGCAATCGAGTTTAGTTTTTTTCCCAAAAAATGAATGCCTAAATAATGATTTTGAGTAGAAATATTTTGGCGCCCAAAAATACACTGTATTGGCATTGAGCAATCGAGTGTGTTCCTTTTCCCAAGAAAATTAGTGCACAAGAATTTGACATCTTTTGGGTTCAAATATTTTAGGTCGCCCAAAACGCACATGAACCATTTCTAGAGCATCAGGCAATCGAGTTTGGCCATTTTTCCAAGAAAGTTGGTGCATAAGAAACCATTTTTACATATTTGGATACAAATATTTTTTGGTCGCCAGAAATACACTTGGATGGCTTGGGTATCAAGCAATCAAGTTTAGTTTTTTTCCCCCAAAAAGGATGCCTAAATAATGATTTTGAGTAGAAATATTTTGGCGCCCAAAAATACACTGTATTGGCATTGAGCAATCGAGTGTGTTCCTTTTTCCAAATACTTTGGTCACCCAAAATGCGCACATGAACCATTTCTTGGGCATCCAGCAATTGAGTTTGGTCCTTTTCCCATGAAAATTGGTGAATAAAAAACGATTTTGAAATCTTTTGGGCAAAAATATTTTGGTCGCCAAAAATACGCATTTCTTGGGCTTCGAGCGATCGAGTTTAACTCTTTTCTCAAGAAAATTGGTGCATAAGAAATGATTTTGACATATTTTGGATACAAATATTTTTGCCACCAAAAAGACATATTAAGCTTCTTAAGCATCGGCACAAATAACGATCTTGAGATCTTTTGAGTAAAACTATTTTGGACGCCAAAAATATACGTGGACCTTCTTGGGCAATGAGGAATCGAGTTGCATCCCTTTCTCAAAAAAATTGGTGCATAAGAAACGATTTTGATATATTTGTGTACAAATATTTTTTGGTCGTCAAAAATACACTTGGATCACTTCTTGGGCACACACCTTGATCATTTATTGGGCATCGAGCATTCGAGTTCAGTAATTTTCCCAATAAAATGGATGCATAAATAACGATTTTGAGTTTTTTTGAATAAAAATATTTTCGCCGCCAAAAATATACACGGATCATTTCTTGGGCATCGAGCGATCGAGTTTGATCCTTTTCCCAAGAAAATTGGTGCACAAGAATTTGACATCTTTTGGATTCAAATATTTTGGTCACTCAAAATGCGCACATGATCCATTTCTTGAGCATCAGGCAATTGAGTTTGACCTTTTTCCCAAGAAAATTGGTGCATAAGAAACGATTTTGACATCTTTTGGAGACAAATATTTCGGTCGCCATAAATGCACATGGATCTTGGGCGTCGAGCAATCGAGTTTAGTGTTTTTCCCACGAAAATGGATGCATAAATAACGATTTTGAGATCTCTTGAGTAGTTATTTGGTCGCTAAAAATACACACATGATGCGTATCGACCAATCGAGTTTGGTCCTTTTCCCAAAAAAATTGGTGGAGTAAAAAACGATTTTGAGATCTTTTGAGTAAAAATATTTTGGTCGCCAAAAATACGCATGAATCATTTCTTAGGCATCGAGCGATCGAGTTTGATCTTTTTCCCAAGAAAATTGATGCATAAGAAACGATTTTTGGTATCAAGCAATCGAGTTTAGTTTTTTTCCCAAAAAATGGATGCCTAAATAATGATTTTGAGTAGAAATATTTTGGCGGCCAAAACTACAAATGTATTGGGCATTGAGCGATCGAGTGTGCTCCTTTTCCCAAGAAAATTGGCGCACAAGAATGTGACATTCCTGGGATTCAAATATTTTGGTCGCCAAAAATACGCATGAATCATTTCTTGGGCATCGAGCGATCGAGTTTGATCTTTTTCCCAAGAAAATTGATGCATAAGAAACGATTTTGACATATTTGGGTGCAAATATTTTTTGGTCGCCAAAAATACACTTGGATCACTGCTTGGGTATCAAGCAATCGAGTTTAGTTTTTTCCCCAAAAAATGGATGCCTAAATAATGATTTTGAGTAAAAATATTTTGGCGGCCAAAAATACACATCTTCTTGGCCATCCAGCAAACGATTTTGGTCCTTTTCCCAAGAAAATTGGTGCACAAGAATTTGACATCTTTTGGGTTCAAATATTTTGGTCACCCAAAATGCACATGAACCATTTCTTGAGCGTCGGGCAATCGAGTTTGGCCTTTTTCCCAAGAAAATTGGTGAATAAGAATCGATTTTGACACAAATATTTTTTGGTCGCCAAAAATACACTTAGATCACTTCTTGGGTATCAAACAATCGAGTTTAGTTTTTTCCCCAAAAATGGATGCCTAAATAATGATTTTGAGTAGAAATATTTTGGCGCCCAAAAATACACTGTATTGGCATTGAGCAATCGAATGTGTTTCTTTTCCCAAATACTTTGGTCACCCAAAATGCGCACATGAACCATTTCTTGGGCATCCAGCAATCGAGTTTGGTCCTTTTCCCAAGAAAATTGGTGCATAAGGAACGATTTTGACATATTTGGGCACAAATATTTTTTGGTCGCCAAAAATACTTACACTTGGATCACTTCTTGGGCATCAAGCAATCGAGTTTAGTTTTTTTTCCAAAAAATGGATACCTAAATACTGAATTTTAGTAAAATATTTTGGCAGCCAAAAATACACATGTATTGGGCATTGAACGATCGAGTGTGCTCCTTTTCCCAAGAAAATTGGTGCACAAGAAATGATTTTGACATCTTTTGAATAGAAATATTTTTGCCACCAAAAAGACATATGGATCTTCTTGAGCATCAAATAATCGAGTTTAGTCTTTTTCACAACAAAATTGATGCATAAATAATGATCTTGAGATCTTTTCAGTAAAAATATTTTGGTCGGCAAAAATATACATGGATCACTTGTTTAGTCTTTTTTGTAAGAAAATGGATGCATAGGTTAGTAATATAGTAAGGTCCATCGGGGTTCACTTTCACCTTGAGATCTGCACATGCGCCAAATGCAAGGTCATTAGACTCGGTTCTGTTTATCTCCGTAATTCCATAATAGTAAGATTTTTTTTGGAAATTTTAACATTCGGTCCTTCTAATAAAATCAAACATAGCGCCCATGTTCAAACTCAAATACGTACACGCGCAGCGTTAACTTTAGAGGGCACAAGTAGATAAAGTGAAACAAATGATCGTGCATTCTGATTAAAAGTGGAACGCGAAGCACGAAATAAAATAAAGCTCAGAACATAAAACAATATTGGCCGCATGGAAACGACGGGAGAAGCTAAGATTGTTACTTTTCACGTCTAGATTAAAAAGTGAGAATCTGCATAGAAAATAGTAGTAAGTAAATTATGCAGCGTTGCCATTTTCAACATTAGAAACCACAATGGTGGAGTGGTAATTTCAACGAACCTGAAGTTTCGGCGTTTCGCGAACTGAACCAAGAGCTGTCAATGGGGTGATATGTTTACAGGTTGCGGATCTATCCAACGCGATCGCATCCGCCGTTAATAGACTTTTAATGTCGCCTAAATACGGACAGCAGACGTGCAATAATTCATCGAAACCGATGAGATCGTCGAGCTGCACGGTACGAGTGGTCGGTTTCAACAGCATCGGCGCGTCGTTCTTCGACATCCAGACGTAATACAGATCGTGCGGAACGTGTGGAAGTTCGAGCAACCAGCCGACGCTCAATTTCACAATCATCGGATACTTGGAGCCGTCGAGGTGAATTTTGAAGAGGATATGAAAAACGTCTTGAATTTGGTTCGACTTTAATGTCACGCTGTCGAGCATCGCCAAGTACTTGACCAACCATGGAATAGTAACCGTGAGAGTCCTCCTCTCGCTTGCCTCGAGTAAAATTTTCTTCAGATCTAGCGTCAATCTAATCTGAAAAATGATCGTAAACTATGCGGCTATCCTCACGTATTACCTTGTTACGTATCCGCAGCTGATCGTGAACGACGTTCTCGGGTAACTGCACGCAGCTACTACGATACGGGAGAGACTCGAAGAAACCCAAGAACTTGGCGAGCACTCTCAGCGTTTTCACCTTCGTTATCAAGCCCGTTCGAAACGTTTCGCTGAACGTATCTACAAAAGCGCGCATCAAGTACAAACCAAACTCCGCGAACGCACTTACCGAATTCGTCGCGATCCGAGCAGCCAATCGAAAGGTCGTCGTTGAGCCTCGAGATTTCGGCCGCGATTACGTCGACGAAGTGCTTACTGAAGGAAGGGCTCGCGGCGATAAGTACGAAATCTTTGTAAAACTCCTCGTAATTGGTGAACGTCGGGATCGAGTTGATACCAGTGCAGTTCTTCTTGCCGATGCGCGTGTTTAGTTTCGACAGTTTCTCCTCGTCGATGTTCGGAATTGCCGATTTGATCGTATCCTCGTCTCCTATCGTCCCATCCTGTAATTCAGTTGCTTTTAAACATGGATTTAAGGGAAGAGAGCGTTTTGTGGAAACTTTTTGTCAACAAATTCGCAATCACGCACGAGGTTTACATTCGCCCACTGACTGCGGGAAAATAAACACCGGGTTTCAGGGAAAGGCTAATTACTGATTCCAACAATGTAAAATGAAATGTTTTTGTGATGGGGACCTAAAAAAAGGGTGGCGTGTAGAAACGAATCCAGAATTATTAACATAATAAATGTATCTAGTTTGAAATAATTTTTTGGAAATTTTATCAGACCAGGGATAGGAAATACTAGTTACAACATCTAAGGCTGTGATTGATCTCGAATCTCAACTGCTGGCTTGGATATCCCGCACGAGGGACAAGTTAAAGGCCCAAGGGTGGGACCCTGGTAGCAAAAACAACGGTTTAGAATCTGTGTATTCATTCATGATTCATGATCATATCGTTTTTAATTTTCCTTTATTGCTACATACAAAAATCTCTTATAATAGCGAATAAATACGTCTGCCATTTTTTAGCAATAACTTTGGCGTAAATGCCCAAAAATAGATAAAAATATACACCTCTAAAGTCAGAAAACAACTCAAGAGCCCGTCTGCAGGGTCACTCTGTAATTAGGCGCAAGTCTGTTGAAGGCTCAGAACACGAGAGCGATAATAAATAAACACCCTGTAATAAGTGTTGTAAAATTCCTCCGTTAGATGTCGCCTGCTGTCGCTGATTTCATGCTGATTTCACAAAATTTCCAAACTTATTTTCAAGAGCGTCTTGGTTGAAAAATTGAGTACAAAAAAATTCATTTTCAAATCATCCCCTAATAATGTGGTGACATTAATGGTTATTTCCAGCTGTTTTTTGTTTGTTTATTATTACGTGTACTCGGGCATCTCGATCCCAGTTTATTTTTTAATCATTTATTTTCACTTGTTCTCTTAGTCATGTTGGTTTTGCAAGAGTTGGCCGTCTGTAGGATTTTTATTTCCCTTAAGTTTTACGAATTAACTACACTTCGTTACACGTCCCTTACAACTTGGCTAATAGTCGAAGCAGAATAAAACACGAATAAATTTATTGGCGCTAACCCCCCCCCCCCCCCCCCGCCTTCAGTATCCTAATTTCCCTAGCCTCGGATTTGAGTTCAAATAGTGCACGTTAACTTCTACAGATGTTTAACCCAATCCTGTTGGTTCTCCTTGATATAACTCATAAGCATCGTTGCTAGTTTTATTCACGCGGTCGGTCGGATTCGCTGGCGGTGAAGATCTTTTTTAATCCCAAACGCTCCTAGTAATTTTGGAAACTCAGCATTATCCTAGGCTGACCAACCATCAAGAACCACTGGTCCTCCACAGCAGCGCAGATAGGTTTCGCAGTTGCGTTTCTCAACGGGACACTTTCAGAAAGATAACAAAGGGTCCCATATAGTTTGGCGCTAACTTAGCTCAGAACTGTTTCGCTGCATTCGATCGAGGAAACAGGAAAATAACTTCGATAGACCTCGTCATCCACATTATAAGTGACAGGACTGCGTCTTAGGTCATAATGACGTTTATTTTTATCCGTCGCTCTCTCCCTCCAAATGGATATTTTCGATTCACATAACGCAACAACTTTAAGTGACAAGTAAATTACAAAATGGCCATCATCTCGAATCGTGCCAATTCCGAAAGCTAACGAAGACACAGCGAACCAAAATTCATACTACGAGCAAAAATCATACGTGACCAAAATCACTACACTTTAAAATCAAATCTAACCGTTACACCCGAACCGTGTGGAGATCCCTGCATACATTTAGCGAAGTTTCTTTATTTAGAATGTTCCTCAATTTGAATTTTTGCACAAGTTTCCGAAAATGAATCTATTTTTTTACCTAATTTAAAAGTTGATTTTCTTCGAATAGCCATTTACCTACAATCGATTTAGGTTGTAAAAGTTGCCGAAATTCATCTCGTTCATTCTTCTAAAAACCGTATCCTATCCTGAAAACATACTTCGATCCAAATACCACCTGGTTCCTGAGCGAGGAACTACGAGTCTGACGACACGAAATAAAGAATTTGACGGTGCAAACAAATATTATACATCTATGGGGAAACAATTTGAATTTTTGGTGTACACCCCTCTGAATTAATTAGAATTAACTTGAATTATTTTGAATTAACGTGAATTAATTTGAATTTTTGGTGTACACCAAAAAATAATACTTGTTTCCCTCTAGTTCTACATTCCATGTGAAAAAAGCAACTTTGGTGTTGTATCTTAAAAACTAAGCAGGCTATGGAAAATATAAAAAACACACACTTTCTAAGTTTTTTTTACATAACTTTTATTCATTCTACGTTTTAGCGCATTTTCCAACGAAGTTGGGTGCGCTACTGCAGCCACTTTCTCTGTCCGTCCGTCTGTCCGAGGCCTTAACTACTCCTACAGTTTTCAAGATATTAAGTTGGTTCTTTTTGCATTCGGTAGCGTATAGCTTTAACACCTGAGCCAAGAAAAATCTTGACAATTAAACTGCGCATGCGCAGGCTGCTTTTATTTAATAATACATTTTGTTGAAATTTTAATCACAGATACTTGTAGTAAAGGCAAATATATCGCATATAGTAAAAATCAGATGTGAGCATGCGCAGACTGCGCAATGCCAACTTTTTTGTTTATGGAGATATTTCTTTGAAATTTTAACCATATATGCCTCTAGTAAAGAAAATAGCTATTGCCTTTTGGGAAGTACTGATTATTCATAGAAAATGCACTGACCTTAAGGCGAAAACCTTTTTACTTGTTTTTATATTCCCACAAGTAACTGAGTTATAAAGCAAAAACTTTTTACTGCATTTTTCAACTTTTGCGCTGTTGCCCCGTCCGCGTAACTCAAACATCATCGATCTAGGCAGCTTTGAAAAATAACACAGAGAAGTGCGAACCGCATCACTTTTAGTTCTCAAAATATCCCTGAAAAACATCGCGAAAAACATCAAAATCAAGCAATTTGGAACATGCTGTACTACAGAGCGTGGCAAATGCGCCCACGTTATGGAGAAAAATGTTTCATATGGGACCTACATTTCCAAAAGTTTCTTCCTGTGATCTTTTGTACGCGGCCATCACATAAGGAAAGCATTTCCTAAATTTTTATTACCCACCACAATAAAAATCAATTGAAATCCTTACGAGCACCCGAGCGAAACCAGCTTTTTTTGTGTGTTTCCACCTCTTCATTTGCCATTTTTCAGTTTCTTTCACTTAGACTTTTCCTCTTATTTCCCTTGTACTTCTTCATTCAATCCCAATAAGAATTTCGTTTGTTTCACATTCATTTCGTCCCTCTCTTTTTCATGTGGTCTCATTGTAATGGACATCAACCAATAAGTAGGCGGGATTAGACATCTTATCTAACATAGGGAAAATATTCTACGGTCTTAGGGTGGAATTCATAGATATTACTTAAGTTAGACTTACCCTTTACTCATACTTAGCGTGTACTTAGTGGTACTCAAAGATATAGTTAAGGTGACGCATGACATTATTGCTATAGTAACGCGCGAAATTCGGACAGATACTAACAGTAAATATAAGTTCCACTTAAACTAAACTAAGTGTGCACTTAGTAAAGTGTAAGTCTAACTTAAGCAATGTTTATGAATTCCACCCTTATTTATTAATTTAATCAATTCCTGCAGAAGATAGGAAAAAACTAAAAAAATCACCACGTTAGTAAACCACGCTCGGGAATGGCGCCTGGATGTCACCGACCTCACATCATGTCTCTAAAGAATTGATTGTTAATTATGCGGCCCGGTAGGTACAAGTACACTCCTCATCTTTCTACAAGCGATCCTCTACGGGGGTCGGCTTAAGAACGATGTTATTGTTTGTAAAAACATCCAATCACATGTCTTAACAACACTGTTAGCTAACAACATAGTTAAGTATACTGTATGGCTTTATAATAGGGGCCGATAATAATTTTGAAATTAACAATTTTGTGGTTTTTCCTGTATTTCTTACCCGAGCGAAAATTTTGATTTTACCGTATTAAGATTTAAAGTTTAAAAAGAGCACATGCTCAAAAATAAATTCAAACCAACAACTTTTTTTTAAATGAAAATACATTTTTATTTTCCTTTTGGAATTTTACATAGTGTTTCATGTACAGGGTGTCCCATTTTCGACACTGTTATAGGCGTTATGGGATCTTTTTGGGTCAAACTTGCAATGGTAAAATCAAAATTTGCACATTTTTGCTTCAGAGATACGCAGATAAATCAAACAATTTTCAATTTCAGAATGACCGAATATATTCTTAGTAAAAACAGAAACAAAAAAATTTTTCTTGAAAATGATTGATAAATAATCTGCCGTTTTCAAAATAAATAATTATACAGTACTATCGGGTAAAAAATGGATCTAACTCGAGAACTTAATTTTATTTAAATGGCACACCCTGTATATTTCAATCTAAAAATAGCATATTAAATTCTGTTTTTTTTAAATATAACACTGACAAAATTCAATATCTATTCAAAAAGGTTCAAAAAAGATTTCTTAAAAATTCAAAAATTCGTTTGTAGTAATTTCGAATTTTTTTCGGTGTCAGAAAAAAGGGCGATAGTTCGTAGAAAACAGTTCCTTTTGTTGAGACCTTTCATTAGAATACCATGAATGGGTAAAACGTGTGGTTGCCCCCCCTCGCCTTTCCCATTTTCAAAAGTTTTACTTGCCACTAAAGGCATGCGCATGTAAAATGGTATTAGACTCTATTAGTGTGACGTGATATTTGAGCGGGAAATTCGAAATGCTGGACTTGGCTGTTTTAATGTTGAAGATATTGATCCCTATCGCCCCAAACATTAAGTATCACTTTTAAATAGGTCCTCTTTACGGGCTTATACTCACCTTATGCGCATTAAATAAGCATATCGACCCTCTATATATCGAAACACTGATTATTTAACTTTAAAGGCAAGTAAACGACCAAGTCTAGCAATTGGGAAAATGTAAACACAAGAACAAGGTCATGATCATTCCATTTTCCCAACCGTAAAGTGTAAATATGGTAGACATATCTTTAATTTTTAATTATAACGCAATTAATGGATTTTATTTAACGATTATTGCTCTGTTTTGAAGTAATCAGTGTCTCGATATTAGAGGGTCGATATGCTTATTTAATGCGCATAAGGTCAGTATAAGCCCGTAAATAGGACCAATTAAAAAGTGATCCTTAATGGATAGGGTGATAGGGGTCAATATTTCCGACAGTAAAACAGACAAGTCCTGCAATTCGAATTTCGCGGGCTATTATGACGTAACCACTAATAGACTCTATTGGTTGTCGCATGTTAAAAGTTTAGGACCATTTCCGTAAAAGTAGTTCAACACAGCAAAAGTGGTTCCTGACCAACGGAGAACACACAAAACAATAGCACCAGCGCTAAAAAACGCAAAAAAGTACAATCTTTGCCGATCTACCTTTCATTGCTTTGCTGGTTCCTGGTTAGATTGTAGAGCATAATATTGTGGTCTGGTAAGAATAAGATGCAAGTTATCTTCCGTGTTGAAGAATTGAAGAAACAACTCACACCGGAGAGCCTTTATAATTTCAATTTCTAGATACCAAAATTAAAACCTCTCTTTCCTAATTTTTACGTCTTTTGTTTTGTCATATTTCTTCGAATTAAGCGAATTATCTTTTACACATTGATATAGTGTCATATTTCATAGTAGATTAGATTGGTAACTTGCATTTGAGTGTTAACCATTACAGTAAAGGTCGTAAATTGCTCCATTGCTGAAACCAAATAAGTACGTTGGGCGTTTGTTGAACTGTATTTCGGTTGAAATTGTATTTATGTCTTAAATAGAGAAAAATTTTAATAAAACTCTAAAGAATCTAAAGTGTGAGAGTGAGGGAACTACGTACGTTTTTCTAAACTAGATTTACGAGAACGCATTTCGTAACTAGGCGCTCCTCGACTAACTATAGCGCCATCTCGGAACGAGGGAACCGCATATCGGCACGCTAATGAACGTACGATTTTCTATATTTACGGTTAAAACCCCTTTAAAAAGCAGATGACAGCATCACCTGAGCGAAAATTTGCAATACCAGTTTATCCTATTTGTTTCTCACTCTTATTGTATTTCCTCTATGGTATAGGACATTATTATTATGAAAAGTTGATGGTTTTTGGAGGAGCGAAAAGATGACAGAAAAATATACGGGGTGTTCCACTTACCAAAAAAACACCCCGTAAGCTATTTTTTAGCGCATTTTTGAAAAAAAATACGCTATTATATTCGTTATGGCTTGCTGGCCGGCTGTCCGGCTGAGATCTCAGCAACTACAATAGCTAGAGACTTCAAATTTTCACTAAAACCTTTCTGCTATAGTGTAGATGTGCAGGCTCTAGTCTATTTTGAGTTAGATTACTCGTGAGATCGATAATTTTAAACTTTTCTAATAAAATACTGACCTGTATTACCAAAAATGCGCTTTAATCATACATATGCTGATTTACAACTTGTTTAATGTTTTATAGTAGATGTATTTATTTGACTTTTACTTAACCCAGGATAAAAGATATAAAACATGGAATCAAAATTTAAGTAATAATTTTGACAATATACTGACACTTGCAAATGCCCAATTTTTCTTAAAAATCGAATTATCTTTAAAACTACTAGCTTTTCGGATATTAACCATATAATAAAAAAGACGTACAATTACACGTAGAATTCAAAAATGCATTCAAATACAGGGGCATCTATTTAAAAAAATGTACCATTTGGGCGCCCTACTTTGTGGGTGCACCCTGTATAATTCCAAATATTTTTAAAATGTGGAGAATATTCAACCCGAGATTCAACCATATCATAATACAAAAGTACTCTATCGAAAAATCTGATCTTCAAGGCATTAAGTTACTCCGCGCAATCGTTGACTCACCCTGTATATATTTTTCAAATGAAAATAGCGCATTGGAATATTAAGCCCTCACATACTCACCTGACAAGCATTAACCAAAAGTTGCGCCTTAAAAAGTTTGGCAAAGTGTATCAAATTGTTCGGCTCCGAATCCAAATTGACCAGATATCGAACCTTCTGCCCCAGCGCCGTAGCAAAACTCCAATTATTTACCATTCGATTACTCTCCCACGCGCGCAGAACTTCGTAGAACAAATCCCGCTGCTTACGAAAATTGTGAAACGAAGCGTTCGTGGCGAAATTGTTTCGATTGTCCGTGTCGCACTCGAAGTACACGCTCTTGTTAATCTGCCGTACGCCGACCAGCTTTTCGACTTTACCGTCGTACGTCTTAAGAAACGCGAGACGAAAGTTTTCGTTCGTGAAGCGTCGAAAGCGCGCGTTGTCGAATAAAAGACGAATTGTCGGCCGATCGAGCAAACGAAGAAAATCGGTTTGCTTTCGCAACACGCCGGTCGCGAAGTACACTTGATTGCCGAGCGAATTTAAAATTTGTAACGAAGTCCTCGGCCCGCAGTCCCTCTTTAACAACACTGACACAATAAAATATATCTCACTCGTCAAGTTCGCAACGTAACAATTATTTAATAAAAACACGTAGACATCGATTAAAATATCCAGCTTCTGCGGAAACGTCACAAGATTAAAATCGGGTTCGTCGCCAATTTTTTTACTAACAACTTTCGTAATAGTAGTCTCCGCGCCGGTGTCGAAAGCAACTCGCGACCGCTCCTCCAACAGGTTTCTACGATCCGTACCGAGATTCTCATCGTGCTTGCCGAACGAAAAACTATTCCTGTTCGGGGAGAACGTTTTCGTTTTGCCGTCTGAAAGGCTGATCGGGTTGATGCGGCGCGAGCCGAAAGTCTCGTTCAGATTTTTCTGCACTCGCTTGCGCGGATCTTTGCGAATTAGAAAGTCGCCGAGTCGAATGTTCGGCGGCGTTTTCGGGCTCGGCGCCCTTCTCGCGAACGGATGCTGCTTGTACAGCGGCGACACGTGCGCGTCTACGTTATCGTTGAGGTCGAGATTTTCGAGTAGGGATGTGCGCCGTTTCGGTGTCGTCGCTTCGCCGTTGCGTGCCGCGTCCTGTACGGTTTTGGGAGGCCTGAAATGTTACCCCTTCATTTAGTTGCCTTCGAATGTCAACAAAATTTACCTGTTGGAAATTTCGTGTACGTAGTTGAGGAAGAATAAAATAAAATCAATTTGGGTGCAGTTGAGGTGAGCTATGTGTTCGTTGTCCGGCTGAAAGTACGCAACATAATTTGAGGTTATCTACACAGTGTTTTTACCTTGGAATTAGGGCTCTTTATCCATTCTAATACGTTGTCTAATTGTATTACGTTATCTAATGTTTGCAGCAATAATTTTTCACACATATTGGATAAAAACACAAGTATAAAGGTAGCTCAAATAATTGATTGTAAATTATTATTGGGTCCCGAATATTTCCATTCTTCCAATTCTTAATTTGGTCTCGTCCCTAATCTCTTGAAAGGGTGAAACTAAAAATTAAAATAAAAAAGTTCTTGGTAAAATGAGCGGTTGCGAACTGTGCATTACTAGGTTATGTTATTGTTGTTCTATCTGTGTTTAAGGTTATGTTTCACAATACACAGGATGTATCTGCTACATAGGGTGTTTTATAAGTGAGCCAGTTGGAGGATTGTTCTTTCATTGTACTCGTATATGTATACAATTGTTAAGTTATAAATTCAATGGTTCTATTACACCTTGTTCAATATAAATTCAGTAGCATGTCATTAGCGTACAGTCATTGACATAAGTAATAATCGCCGAATTGGTAAACTCAACAGCATAGGCAACCAACATACCTTTCACCTATCACATCGGGTTCCGACTCCTTCTTTAAGCATGGGATACCTTAATTTGTTGGTTGGCATTTCCAAGGTGCACAATATATTCATACGTTCAAGTATTAAATATGCAATATACAAATAGCGACTTTTACGTCACTGCCTTTTTTAAGAGTATTTTCCTCCTTCTACACGACTGAACCGCTTTGGGTGATATGGGGCTCATTTGAAAGGGCTTGGTATAAGGATTCCGTGCACACCGATATTTTTTGATTTTGCCCATGCGCGGGATCAAAAATTTGGTTTAACGCATGTGCAATGCTAACTTTTTTATTTATGAAGATACAGGGTGTTTTTAAACATGCGGCAAAAATATAATATTTTGTCCTTCGATGATTTTTGATAGGGCGCTTTGTTTTGATTTGAGAAATCGGATAATTGCTGGGTGTAACGCAATCAGAAACGATTCTGGTGTTTTTGAAATAGTTCGTGAGTCGATTTTTCACCAAAAACTTCACAAATTATAATAATATATTTTTTAGTTTTTTAAAGAAAATCTCGCTTTTTTCAAATGGAAAGATCCGTTTTTTATTACAGATATTAAATCTAGACAAAGAGACGCCTTCAGGCTTCAACCTTATTTTGTACTTTTCTGGAGACTTCTCTTCCTGTTGCTGCCCCGATTAGGCATTATGGACTTGTTCCAACATCTTTTCTTTTGTTGTGATCGGATCTTTGTAGACTACTTGTTTAATGTGCATGTGCCCCGGAGACCGGAGGGCTATATGTGTTTGCCATTATATTGGCATTTTGCAATCTGCGCATGTGCGCATTTGATTTTTACTATGTGCGATGTGTTTGCCTTTGTTAATGTCATTTGTAGTTTTCGATTTTAGCTATATGTGATACGTTTTTCTTTACTAGAAGCGTCTATGGTTAAAATTTCAAAAATATCTTCATAAATAAGAAAGTTGGCATTGCGCAATCTGCGCATGCGCACATCTGATTTTTACTATACGCGATATGTATTTGTACCATAAGGCATAAACATAATGAAACGAGTGGTTGGTTACAATAACAGAAAAACGCTTACGACTGTTTATATACGGAAGTAAGTGAATGGTATATACCTACGCACAAGCACAACACAGTTTCAATTTGGTCGAATATATACAGGATTTCGTTTTCTTTGCAACGATGACCTCAAACCTGGATGGAACGAGTGTCATCAGATGACGACTGTGGAATGGCAATTGATTATACAGTTTGCGTATAATCAATGGGTATGGGAACCACATTTACAGCATTCTGTAAAAAGCCATCTGGCAACCATGCACAATTGAAAATTAAAACCAAACCGCCAAAAGTGTCACCTAACCTCACTCATTGTAGTTGTCTTAAATGCATTATTTTCAATAAAAAAAATGGTATTAAACAACTTCTTTTTGGATGGATAAAGTGTATATTAATCGTTTTAGCGGCGCAGTTCGACGTCACGACCACTACCACAGTTTAAACCTGGAAATCTGCAAAGTAAATTTGTGTCTCCCGAAACTGAATCTTCATCAAAAAAGCGGACAAGAGACAAATCCAAGACGACCAATACAAAATGTAGAAAACCGCTAGTGCAATTAAACGAGAATGGGTTCGATTACTCGTACGCCACGTCCCACGTAAGTTATGTACCAATTACACGTACAAACTTACCGTTCTTACTTTAGGAGGAGCTAATAAAGAAGTTATTGCAACCGTTCGTCTCCCCCGATCCAAATTATCAAGCCTCTAATTCTACGAAGACTTTAGGTATAAGACGCAGTCGTGTTAAGCGAGCTTTGTACGATCCAAACACGCCAAACGCTCTGGTGTTGTACGCCCCACCAGAGGTCACCGAGCACGACAAAATGAAGCACGATGAGTAAGTATCACGTACGATCTGCCGTCGGTCAAAAGTGGAGGTTTTAGCAAGGTACTGGTGCACGTCGTAGTCGATCCAATACTAAGCAATATCTTGCGACCTCACCAGCGTGAGGGCGTGAAGTTTATGTACAATTGCGTCACGGGCGTGCAAATATCGGGCTCGTTCGGATGCATAATGGCGGACGAGATGGGGCTGGGCAAAACGCTGCAGTGCATTACTTTAATGTGGACTTTGCTAAGGCAAGGGCCCGAATGTCGCCCTACGATTGATAAGGCCATCATTGTTTGCCCGAGTTCGCTCGTACGTAATTGGAGCAACGAAATCACCAAGGTTTGTATCTTGATCGTGTGCAAAAATTCTCTTCGAAATTTCAATTGTTTTGAATTTTCCTGGATTATCTGATATGAAATTTTTTAATTATTTTTCCAATGTTTGTAAGAACGGCTTTTATCTTAAATTTAATTTCTGAGTTTAATTCATTTTTATTTTTGCGAATTTTCTAGAATTTTTATTAAATTTTCATCAAATTTTTGCTGGTTTTTTGAATATTAGAAATGCTCGCAAGAAACTTTTGAAGGATTTCAAATTTTTTTAATTTTTTGAATGCTTTAATTCGTCAGAATTCTCCAGTCCGATTTCTTAATTCAATTTCTTCCCTCAGTATTGTGCAAGGGCCTGTTGAAATTGCCGATATGTTTATTTTTTGTTTTTTCTTTAAATTTTGGAATCTCATTGTTGCAAGTTTCCTCGCAAGTTTCAAAACTGAATGTTCTGATATTTCTGAATTTTTGAAATGTTTTTATTTTTCAAATGACTATTTTTAGATTTTTTAAATTACACATTTTTAATTTTTGGAATTTTTTATTTTTAATTTTTTCTAATTTCTTAATTTTTCGAATTTTCAAAATTATTTTGTTTTCTTTCATGCAGGCGTCTTAACAATTTTTAGTTTTCTGTAGTTTTTGGACTTTTAATTTGTCTAAGTTTTAAATTTGAATTCTATTCAAATTTTAAATTTCTAATTTTTTTAGTTTTCTAATTTTTCAATTTTTTTTGTTTTATTAGTTTTGCAAATTTTTTACATTTTTGCATTTTTTAATCTTTGTGAGCATATATTTTTTTGTATTTATATACTGTATAGATATACTAATGAAGTGTTTTCGTTGAAAAATTCGACGAATAGCATCGGGTTGCTTGTAAAATGTCACGGTATGTGCACAATTTATTCTTGATTTTTCTTAAATTTTTCTATGTGAAATTTATTTTTCGGAATTTGTTGGGTTCAAAAATCAAATTTTTTTCAATTTTATTATTATTAAGCAGCCCCCTCACGTCCGTCGTGTCCATAATCGGCCCTCTCGAGGGCAGCGACCTCGATGTGGGAGTGCGGCGGGTGGCGTTGCTTCTTCCCGGGCGAATGCGGGAGGAGCGCGTGCGAATTCACAGAGTCCGTTTGCTGAGCGTATAGATGCTCAAACTCGGGATCTATTTACGGGGTAGCTGGGCGGTGTAGCACGAAAAAGCAGAGGTCGATTGGTCTTAGGGGCAGTTGCTATGGATTATTCCCGGTTCTCCTCGGCCGTAGCAAGTAATGGTGGGTGCGACGACCGGGGTCATTTTTCCGTCGGGTGCGGTTGAGGCGGCGGCGTCCTCTTCCATTTGCGGCACTCTACTTGCGCATGCCCGGTGAGCGTTTGTTTGCTTTGGTGGTAGATGGTTTGGCCGGGTCTTACGTTCTGGTAGCTTCCTCCATCTTCCGTACTTCCTCGACGAGGTTCTTGAACAGCTGGACCTTGATTTGGGGGACTGCGGAGGTGTCCGTAAACCATGCTCACTTGGAATTCTTCTCCCGAGCGTAGGTTTTCTGGGATTTTAGCGATGAGAGGTCTCTGTTGACTAATGAAGAGCTCTGTGCCTTCTCTATCCCTCTGCTCCGTGGAGAAGATGGTGCGCAGGATCTGGTGGACGGGCAGTGGGCAGGGAGAACGAGCGGTGCTTCCGTTATTGAAACTCGTCGGTGACTGTTTGCGTAGGCGGTAACTGTTTGTGTGCGCCTTATGGCTACGCGTGAGGGTGTGGAATTAAGAGAGGTATTTATGTACGTGATTCTTTTTCGCCATTTTTCTGACATTAAGGTTTCAGATACCAAAATTTCTTCTTGTATCAATCTTAGGGGTGTCCATGTTATGAAATGAGCACAAAATTGGAATCGTGATATATCACAGTGAAACTTTTGTGTAAAATTGTCCAGTATCCAATATTTTTTGCTAGCCATATTTAATTTTTTGTTGGCGATCTATCTGGTACAAAATTTCATTTTTTTTTGATAATTTTATGTGTGTCAAATTTCTCTTTTTCGCAATTTTTTGGGGGTCAAAAAAATTTTCGGGTGTCAAATTTAACATTAATTAATTAATTAACATTTTGGATTGGTAGGCAAGGCGGCATCAAGTTAGTATTTAAGTTTAGATCGATTTTTAGTGGTTGGCCGGACGTCTGAGCTCGGTAATAATGGACGGGGGCCCTGACGGCAAAAAAAAGTTGACGCAATTTATGCAGGCGCAAGGACGTACGGCGACGCCGCTGCTCATCATTTCGTACGAGACCTTCCGCATGCACGCCGAAATTTTGCATTCTAGCGAGATCGGTTTGGTGCTGTGCGACGAAGGGCATCGCCTGAAGAACTGCGAGAACCAGACGTACCGCGCGCTGATGGGGCTCAAATCAAAACGACGCGTGCTGCTGAGCGGAACGCCGATTCAAAACGATCTCACCGAGTACTTCAGCCTGATACATTTCGTCAACGAGGGTCTTTTGGGAAGCGCGCAGGAATTTCGTCGCAAATTCGAAAACTACATCATGAAGGGTAAGCTAAAACTAATTATTAGCAGTGGTGTCCCCATAGGGTATACGCCGTATACCCTCAAGGATTTTTTAGACATATGGCGTATAGAGCGCTGGAATTGGGTCCGTTAACTTGGCCCCCCCACTGAGAGATTTCATAGTCGTATTATTTTGAAATGAATGCGCTCGTTATGCGCTCATATGCGCCACCGATAGTAACTCTTGCGCCATTATCGTTTTTTAGAAATCCGAAAAAACATTTGGGGGGGCCAAGTGAACGTAGCCCCCCCAGTACGTATTTTGTCCCTTGTAACTAGGTCACCTGATACATTTGGTTATGCGCTCAATTGCGCCACTTGAATTAAAGCTGGCGCCATTACGGTTAAGCCATAAAAAATTTTTAAAAAGTGGGGGGGGGGCTAACTTAACGTTTTCAAAAGTTACGTTTTTTAACATGTTTTTTCTACTACATCGTACCTTTCATCATGCGCTAAAATGCGCCGTAAACAAAAATCTTGGCGCCATTATAGTGTTTCAGAAACACTATATACAGGGTGTTTTTTTGGGAGCTTTAGTTAAACGATTCTGGGAAAGTAAAATAGGTAGGTTTTTAAAAATTTGTATTTAGGAGTTACTCCGAAGGCCGAATCGATGTAAAATATTTTCAAAATGGACGCACTTCCGGAAATAACTTTTGAAAACGCTAAGTTAGATCCTCCACTTTTAAAAATTTTTTATGGCCTAACCGTAATGGCGCTAGCTTTAATTTAAGTGGCGCAATTGAGCTCATAACCAGATGTATCAAGTGGCACAAATACCGGTAGCAAAATGCGTTATGGGGGATTCTGTTCCAGAGTTGGACTGGGTCACTGGGTCAACTGGGTCACCTGGGTCACTAAATTAAACTGGGTCGCTGGGTCACGTCATACTCTTTTCAGTTAGACCCAGTGACCCAGTTTGACCCAGTGACCCAGTTTGACCCAGTTTGACCCAGTGACCCAGTTTGACCCAGCGACCCAATTTCACCCGGGGACCCAATTCGACCCAATCACCTAGTTTGATCGAATAACGCAGTTAAGTCAGTGCCCTCGGTTCAAGTGTACAGATTATGAAATAAATGCTTAATGCTGGTTTGTTGAAAATAATACTCGATTGCTTGACAACTGCCATTTCTGTGATGTTTGCTTTAATACTGCCGTAAAAAACTTTCCATGTCCCGAATTGTATTAGAATAATGTTATTTCTTTGCTTCAGGGCTTACCAGTTTGCTTACAGGTGTTCATTCACATTTAATTTTTTTCTACTAGTTAGCTTAATCCAAATAAATCTTTTCTCTAAATACTTTCATTGACTACTTGACTACAAACTATAAACAAATGCATTTGATTTTTTTAGGTATTAGTTCTCTTGAATGAAATTGGGCTACGTGCTTGAAACGTTACTTGAAATTGTTTTGGATGATACCTAACAATAATTTAATTACTGGGCCCCCGGGTCAAGACGGGTCACTGAGTAAAGCTGGGTCAAGATGGGTCAAGCTGGGTCACCGGGTCAAGTTGGGTCAAACTGGGTCACCGGGTCAAGCTGGGTCACCGGGTCAAGTTGGGTCACCGGGTCAAGCTGGGTCACCGGGTCAAGCTGGGTCACCGGGTCAACTGGGTCAGTAAACTAACTGGGTCACTCTATGCTTGACCCAGTCCAACTCTGTTCTGTTCACTTGGCCCCCCCCCAAATATATTTAAGGATAACCAAAAAACAATAATGGCGCAATGATATCTTTTTACGGCGCATTTCAGCGCATACCTGAGAGTACAATTTCGTATGAAAAGATGTTAAAAAAAAGTAACTTTTAAAAACGTTAAGTTGGCCCCCCCACTTTTTGAAAATTTGTCACGGCTTAACCGTAATGGCGCTAGCTTTAATTCAAGTGGCGCAATTGAGCGCATAACCAAATGTATCAGGTGACCTAGTTACAAGGGACAAAATACGTACTGGGGGGGGCTACGTTCACTTGCCCCCCCCCCCAATGTTTTTTCGGATTTCTAAAAAACGATAATGGCGCAAGAGTTATTATCGGTGGCGCATATGAGCGCATAACGAGCGCATTCATTTCAAAATAATACGACTATGAAATCTCTCAGTGGGGGGGGGCCAAGTTAACGGACCCGCTGAAATTGCGTTTTGAGTACCTATCAAATTTTTATAAATTTGTCGGGAATGCCCCCCCCCCCCCCCCCCCCCCCCAACGCTTTTAAAGGGAACATCACAACCACTGAGTACACTCTCAAAGAAATTGTTGGGAACATCACTGATTTATTAGTAATTCGCGTAATCGTTTTTTAGGACAAGACTCCTACGCGACGCCGCTCGAGCGCCAACACGCCCAGGAACGTTTAACCGAACTGACAACGTTAGTAAACCGATGCTTGATTAGGCGCACGAGTGCGCTACTGACAAAGTATCTGCCGGTCAAATTCGAAATGATCATTTGCTGCCATTTAACTCCCGTCCAAAAGGCGCTGTACCGCAACTACATAAACTCCGAGGCGATTCGGCAAACGGTCGCGGAGTGCGACTCGGAGAGCAAGGCCTCCCTGAGCACCTTGGCGAGTATCACGACGTTAAAGAAACTGTGCAACCATCCCGATTTGATCGTCGACAAAATTCGAGAGGGCGCCGAAGGCTTCGAAAACGCAGCGAAACTAATTCCGCCGAAGCACAACGAAAACGACGTACAGCCCGAGCTTTCCGGCAAGCTGATGTTGCTCGACTGCCTTTTGGCGAACATGAAGGCGAACTTGGACGACAAGATCGTGCTCGTCTCGAACTACACGCAAACGTTGGATCTGTTCGAGAGGCTCTGCAAGAAGCGCGGCTACCTGTACGTGCGTCTCGACGGCACCATGACCATAAAAAAGCGCGCGAAGGTCGTCGAGACGTTTAATAAGCCGGAATCGCGCGAGTTTATTTTTATGCTCAGCTCGAAGGCGGGCGGGTGTGGATTGAATTTAATCGGCGCGAATCGGTTGGTGATGTTCGACCCGGATTGGAACCCGGCGAATGACGATCAAGCTATGGCGCGAGTTTGGCGTGACGGACAGAAGAAACCATGTTACATTTATCGATTTCTCGCCGTAAGTTTCAGTTTCAAATTCGACTTCTATTTCGAAATCCAATGTAGACGTCTTATTTGAAATTCCAATGGGAATTTTAACGTTTCCTTCTATCATGGTACAAAAATAAGGTTTGACCATTTCATAACCAAAAATATATCACCATACACTTTTTTTAAAATTTCGTTCTATCTTAAAATTTTGCAAAATAAACATTTTTGAAACTTCAAAAACTTAAAACGTGTAGTTTGAAACATTGAAGCTGTTTATGGAACCTAGAAGTTTCGGAATCGTATAATATTTAAATTGTGCAATTAAATCAATAAATCATGTCAAAAGTTAAAAAAATTGTCAAAAACACTCGTCAACATTTCAAGGTTTCCAATTTATAAACTTTAAAAGCGAACTGCAAAATTATTTCATTTGTTTCAATAATTCCGAATCTTTTATAGGTTAAAAAAATTCGATTCTTCAATTTGTTTCAAAATTCAAAAATGTTTATTTTGTAGCATTTCAAAATCTTCAGGCAAACAATTTCGGAATTTTGGACATTTCAAATTTCCAAAAATTATTTAAATACATTTCAAAATTCCAAAAGAACCAATTCCATATTTGAGTGAAGCGTTGTGGAAATTACAGAAGTAGGGGGCAAAGAAAGTTAAATGCCCTTGTTTCTAAATTTTAAAATTTTCATTAGCACTCAAAATGCAAAAATCCAGCATACTGCATCATAACTAAATGCGATTTAGAGAAAAAAAGAAATAGTAATGAGACTTTGACCATCCTTTTTATCGTGTTTCAAAAATAAGACAGTTTCAAGGTTCACAATGTTGAAATATCAAGAATTCGAAAACAATTTTAAAAATATTAAATAATTCGTGATTACAAAAACACTTCTAATTGTCAGGGTGTCATAAGTTCCGACTTTTCAGATGAAATTTCGTAACTTTTAAAATTTTGAAATTTTACTATAATTTCAAAAACTCTTTAGAATCACAAGATTTCAAAAAGCTTGAATGTTATTTTGAGGTTCACACTATTGAAAAATGTACCAATAACTCCAAAAATTAAAATTTTTATGTTTTGTAATTTTTAATGTTCCAAAATTTCGAGCAACAATTACAAAATGTTAAAAAAGTGCCTCAATATTTCTAATTCTCAACTCAATGTTAACCTTTCTCACTTGTACAGGGTGACCCAATAAGACTGTCCCTCGGCCATATCTCGAGAACCGTTCGTCATATGACTTAGGGGAAAAAAATTAAATCGGTCATGAAGAATCGGAAAATATTTTCAAGTTCTAAAAATGACCACCAGAGGGCGTAACTGTCATTTTAGATTTAAAAAATGCATTTTCTTTAAATTTCTTTAAACATTCTTTTTTCACATTTTTAAAGAGAACAAATTTGGTATGGTTGAAAAGAGCATTCCTTGGGGAATGGGAATCAATATAGTTAATTTAGTTGAATCCTTCTCCGCCAGGGGGCTAGTTTTGACACTATGACCCAAAATCCTAAAAAAATCAAATGGAATGATATGACTTTTTCTTTATGAAAAAGTAGCCAAATAACATCCAAAGAGGCCAGTGAAAACCGTTTTTCAAAATCTCGTTCCTAATCTCAAATATTAGGAAAATGAGATTAATTAATTAACTAATTAAAATGCTTAAATTGTATCTTAAATTTACTTTTTATGTATTTCCGGTATTTGTCGATGGCGCGAAAGAAAAGGACCCTACACTTTTAGGTAGGCCTTTGAAAATTAAACAAATGAAACACGATGCATTATAAAATAATAACAGCCTTAATTTGTAAATTATTCTGCTGTGTTTACATTCAGAAAGTGCAGTTTTTTGAATTTGTAATCTAATCGATATATTTTGAGTATTTTCAAAATGCGACCATCGCTACTCGCATCTTCTATTTGCGTTATCCGAATCAACCATGAACCATCGCCAGCATATTAAATGCTTCTTGGCTAGAAATCGGCATTTTAGAAAAGATTACAAATTCAAAAAACTACACTTTCTGAATGCGTAAACACAGCAGAATAATTTACAAATTCATTTGTTTAATTTCCAAGGCCTACCTAAAAGTGTAGGGTGCTTTTCTTTCGCGCCATCGACAAATACCGGAAATATGTCAAATAAGATACAATTTAAGCATTTTTATTAATTAGGTAATTAATTAATCTCATTTTCCCAATAATTGAGGTTGGGAACGAGATTTTGAAAAACGGTTTTCACTGGCTTCTTTGGATGTTATTTGACTACTTTTTCATAAAGAAAAAGACATTCCATTTGATTTTTTTAGGATTTCGGATCTTAGTGTCAAAACTAGCCCCCTGGCGGAGAAGGATTCAACTAAATTAACTATATTATTTTGGTTGATTCTCATTGCCCAAAGAATGCTCTTTTCAACGATACCAAATTTTGTCACAATCGGTCAAACGGTTAAGAAGTTAAAGCAGGTTATTGCAAAAACAATTGAACGCCCCACACCATCTTTGTTTTTGAAAAAGCTAAGTTTTTGTTTTTACGAAAATGATAGATAAACTGGTTCTCTTTAAAAATGTGAAAAAAAGAATGTTTAAGTTTATTATACGAAATTTGAAGAAAATGCAGTTTTAAAATTTAAGATGGTGGTCATTTTTAAAACTTGACATTATTTTCCAGCGATTTTTCATAACCGATTTACCCAATAATTTACCCCTAAGTCATTTGACGAACGGTTTCCGAGATATGGCCGAGGAACAGTCTTATTGGGTCACCCTGTACAGTGTTGAAATCATACGAATCCATAATTTCAAAAAAATCTCAATTTATAAGGTTTCAAAGTTTCTAAATTTACTCTAATTTCAAAGTTTTTTTTCGAAAACAAATCTCTAGCACGGGGGGTTTGGAGGGGTGTGGAATTTCACAGCTTCAACATGTCGAACTTCGTTCGATCAATTTTTTGAGGTTTCAAAATTCAAATATGGTTATTTTGCAGAACGTAACATCTGCACTTCAAAAAAGGCCAAAAATAAAATGAACACATTTCAAAATTTTCACTGAACCAATTTCTTATTTAAGTGGAAATTTCACAAGTATGAAGTGAAGAAAGATAAATGCGCATGTGCAGAATAAATTTTGTTATTTGTTGAACAGTGTTCTTAACAATCATTATTTCAAAAAAATTCAAGCTCCAACATAAATTTGAGCTTTATTTGAAGACAGATTCTTCTAATAAAGGCAAACATATCGCATATTTTAAACATGAGGTGTGCGCGTGCGCAATGTTAAGTTTCTTATTTATAAGAATATTTACGCCGTTCTGGATCAATTGATAGAAAATGCGCTAAAGTTACTGGCGAAAACATTTTTTTCATTTTTTAAATATTTGACAATATAAAAATCAGCATATGATTTGTACTAGACTGGAACCATCGAAGAGAAAATATTCCAACGGCAGGCGCATAAAAAGGCGCTAAGCTCGACGGTGGTCGACATGAACGAAGAGGCCGCGCGTCACTTCAGCGCCTCCGAACTGAAGGAACTATTTCGATTGGAGACGACGGAATCGGACACGCACACGCGACTGAAATGCAAGCGTTGCCTGAACAAGATACAGACGAAGAACCCGCCGGAGGAATCGGATTGCACCTCGGACTTGGCCAACTGGTACCACAGCTGGGATAAGCGCGGGTTGGCCGATTTGGTAAGCGAACATTACAAGTTGCGTTAAAGTAGTGCGTGTCTTTTAGGTAATTAAGCAAATTTGGGACATGTCGCAATTTATTTCGTTCGTCTTTCACCAAAAGTCCGCGAATGAAGTTGTCAAACCAATTCAGAACATTGAAGAGGAGGAGGCGGAGCAGACGGAAGATGATGGAAGTATTTATGACGATTAATGTGTTTTGTAAATTAAGAAGTAGTGTTTGTTTGTTTAAATGTTAATCGTTTTGTGTTTAATTTATTAAAGGAATTTTTCGAAAACGTGTGGATAGGAAACGTTGTCGTATCGCCTAGTCGGCTGCTTTTCAAGCGCCTCCACGCTGCTTTCATCCCAAGTCTTCAAAATTCTCAAATTTCGCAATAGACGATTGTAGACAATAATGGTCCTTGCTGCGTAAATAAATTTGCACAATTTCAAGTAGCGTACAAACCACGGTTCGAGCTGACATACGACGACACCATTAAAATTGCTCTACAAATCTGGATCAAAACCTGCTGATAATCGGGGTCAACTTACTTCGTGTATGTGACGGTAAGAACGCTTTCTAAGCAAACTACCTGACGAAGACCTCTCCCTAGAGCTATCTTCACGATCTTCCTTGCGATCATAGCGTAAAATATCGTTCGTATGCTCGTCCAATTTAATTTTGTTCGCGTAAATGGCCGTTTTATTGCATTCCTTGTACAAATTAGCCGCGTTCAGAAATTGGCACCTCTTTTCTTTGTAGAGCCTATATTCATCGTCGCGATACCCATTCAATTGGCCCAAGTATTCCTTTTCATTGTGGACAACAGTTTCCCTGGCCAGAAGTCGTTTATTAACGTCATTTCGTGTATACATGTCAATTAAAAGGAAATCTTGGCGTTTTGTTGCCATAGATATACATATTCACAAGCACAATTTGAATTTTTTATGTAAAGTTTGACTGTTCAGATTTTGTAAGGTCTCATCCTGTATATACAACCTATGACGACGCACACATTTTTGAGAGCTGGTAACCGCGCGACTTTTAAACGAAGGGGAAAGTCGTCTGTGCCGTCTCTAGAGCGCAAACACTTTTTACAATCATCTTGGTTGGTTTTGTATGCAGCATTTTATATTTTTGTTTTTGAAATTGACTTGATTTAACCGTAATGCAGAATCATATATTTGATACCGTTATCCTTTTGTTTACGATTTTGGTGTAATGTTTCCTTAATTTATGTTTATGATTTTATGATCTTGACCAGAAATTATATTCGTATAAGTTTTGTTCATTCTTTTAAACATGTGGAAAACCATCAAATTGTTTTAATGTGTGTGTGTATCTGTACTGACTTGTTGGTTGTAGACTAACATTTTCGCCGTGAAGAGACGGTCACGGCAGGGGTGGACTATAGACTGAGAAATCCCGAACGAAGGATCATGCTACAGATCTTGGGGGCAAGATTATGCTAATAAAAATTCTTCGGTTTTGATTTGCGATTCACTGATTTTTACGTATTTTGTCGTAACATTGCTTGCTTTTAACAGATGATTTTATTGCACCAAAAATCATCCTGTGTATTTCACACTTTCTCAGAATCTTATACTCTCTTGAAGCCTACAGGCACACATTTTTTTTATGTTATGCATTCACATCCTTACAAACAATTGATTTTGCTACGCAATTTATATTACAATTTGATGGTTGGTTTTTTTTCTTGGTACGTTCTTTTTTCCCCAGCCTATTTCTGTTTTTGCACGATGAACTACCATTTCCAAAGTTTATTCTTGCAATGACTAAATTTTCGAGCTTTCACAATCTAAATCTATCTCATCCAGTTCCATTCGTTGAACAAAATTGAACCTGCCAAAATATCAATACTAGCAAGAGTTTAAGTAAAACAATTTTTTTATGACAGTAAATATTTATGCTTAAATTATTAGATATCGAGGTCATCATCCGGATCTTCTTCATCCCAGTCATCCGTCTCATCAAATTCATATGTGATTTTTCCTCCCCCTTTCTCATCTACATCCCTGTCAACGACACAATTACCGCATCTACGTTGGACACTTAAGTCTCACCTGTACACATACGGCAAAACCACCTTATCTCTTAGCACCTTCTCTTGATCATTTAAGCCAATTTTAAACGTCGCCAGATTTTCTGGATTGCTCACCTCCTGAACCAGTTTTTTCGCGTCCGCAACGGTAATCTTCTCCGAATCTAGGATGCCGTTGTTCGTGCTGTACATTTCGATCTGTCTGATCACTTTTCCGGATGGCTTTTTGTAAACGTAAAGGACGCGATTACTGTTCGGCTGTAATTGTATCGAAAATGTGGAGAGGTGGTCGAAGTATTGCAAAATGTTGTCATCCAAGTCCTCGTGGAAAATCGCGATGACACGTGCGCATTCTAAAAAGCGAGTATCGTTTACGAGATCACGCAAACTAAACTTACCCTTATTAAGAACGAGTTCCTTAAGTATATTGTAGACTACCTTAAAACCGTATAAATGTACAGCGTGCACTAGTGAATCGACGACAATAATGGGTTGGTTTTTAATCTGTGCGACATTAAGGAAGGGGTCGGTGTAAGGTTCTAACCACCCTTTACAGTTGGAAACGCAATCGTAACAGGTGAAATTCGAACGTGGGGTAAACAATCCTTCGAACTGAAAATAGTGTACGTTGTCATTTTGTTTGGTTTGTAACCTCAAGACGGATTCCAGGAGATCTTTGCCTTCATGCTCCAAACAGTCTAGAAATGATTGTCGTTATATAGCACTCGATTTCACGCACGAACCCTCGATGAGTACAAATCTGGATAAGGGGGTAGTTGATAGAAATGTTCTCAACGTCATGCTTTGGACTGCAAACAGTCAAGAAATGGGCTTTAGAGAGTGTTGAAATTTCTTGTTCACACTCTTAAAAGTAGGGTTATATTTAACACAAACATTATATACAGCGCGATTCCACCTACAGGCTGCTCCAAAACATAAAATTATTTAATTACGTTATGACTAATGTTTTAATTATTACTGTAGCGAATTTTCTAAAACGTTATCAAGGCGTCATCAAGTTGATAAAGAGGCGATAAGGAATTAAAGCCTTTCTGTGAAATATGATATGCTTTCTTTATTTTTCTACACCTTTTCCACTTTTATTCGAGAAGTTGTAAATTGTATTTGAGAATTGTTACTTGTATTTGAGAAAACATCAAAGTAGATGAGAATAGTCAGTTGGATTTGAGAAAACAACAAATGTATTTGAGAATATCAATTGTATTTGAGAAAGTATCATTTGATTTTAAGAAGTCGTTAATTGTATTTCAGAATGTAATATTATTCCTAATGAATTATAATTAAGAATCAAATTTTTATAATCCCGCTACTGTATGTAGTCCCGCAACAGCAGCAGCAGCATCAGGCTATGTTATACATGTGATTTTTTTTTCTCATTTTCAATTGATATCTTCTCAAATACATTTTACCATTTCTTGATGAATACAATTTTCTACTCTCAAATTCATTTGATGCCTTCTCAAATACAAATCACTATTCTGAACTACATTTGTTGTTTTCTCAAATACATTTTACTATTCTCAAATACAATTGTGACTTTCTCAAATTAACTTTATAGTTTCCCGAATAAAAGTGGAAAAGGTGTAGAGGGATTATGGTTTGCTATATAAGCAAATTGAATTGTGTTTAGCCCTAACAACGATATTGAAGTGATAAATAGTGGTTAAAATTAAGTGTTATATGTTAGTACAAGTATAAAGTGATAGATTGTAAGTAACTGTTATAAATCAATCAATTTAAGTTGAGTTGGCACCACGCAATTTTTAGGTGTGGAAAGCTTTTTGCGCCATCTGGAGAGCACTAACGTTGGTTACGTTTGCATTCACATTCATATAAATTTTGATCCTGAGTTGTTTGAGTGTCTAGTGACTTTGTTTGTAACTAACATTTTGTCCGTGAATGAAAAGCAGTCATGGGGGTGGCAAAAACTGTAATTAAATTGAGTTACGACACCTAATTTCGTGATTGTCTTCGACATTTACTGTAGGCTCGAAACCTTGAACGAGGAGCGAGTTATATATCTTGCGGGGACGAGATTACGCTAATCAAAACTCTTCGGCTTAGAATCTATGTGCGATAAATGAGTTATGATTCGCTAATTTCCACATGTCTTGTCGTTAGTTGGATTTGCCTACTAGGCCATGTAATTTTTCACCTTGCTCTTAACAAAAGGACTTTATTGCACCAAAGATGAGTCACATCCTGTACCCTTCACCCTTTCTCAGAATTTAGGTACCTACCTGCTTACCTGATTCATTCTTCCCAAAATTTGTTTCAATATCAAGTAATTACATTAAAGACAATCTAGATCTGCTCCAATCCAGAATGTATCTAATGACCTTGATATGGTAGCTCTTGGATTGTAGTTGCCCTTCGAGATGCCGGTAAGTCATTTAATAAGGTCGGAATTTACCTCTGAAAGAGAGAAAAGGTAATTGCATTCGAAAAAGGCGTCAGTTCGCAAAGTGCAAAGATGGTGGCACGGCGTGGGTGATGTGTTGTTATTTGTGACCGCCATCGATGCATTTTATTAAAAAACGGTCATTGTTCACGGAACTGCCCCTGTACATATTATGCGCATAAGGCCAGCATCGGATAGACGCTGGTAATGTGCTGAGTAAAATGCAATAAATCGGTGAACTAGGCGAGCTAATGGCCAAAGTGATATATAAATGCAAGGAGCCAATACAGATTGCTAATGCTGGGCCATCAATGCAAATGTGTTTGTTAGAGGTGCGGATCGTAGTCTTTAGCGTCTTAGCAATACGAGAAGGGGTCTTCTAAGTGTTGGCACCAGGGAAGATAGATGGCGCAGGGGTGGAGGGAAGCTGCCATTCTGTGTGTGTGCTGCCATTATTGTAGTTCGTTTCGTAAATCGTAGTTAATGAAATATTAAATCCTGATACTGGCGTGTGTATTAATTATTTGTCCCCTGGCGACAACAAATTGATCGTAGATTTGTGTAGTGTTCCTGTACTGATTTAATTGATCATGTTTTCCACTATTTATTTATTTGTTATATGTATTTGCGATAACTCTTGTGTCTCATTCTTGTTAATTTACTGCATTTGATTCAAATTACCTGATTTTCTCGTACAATTTGAGATTTTATTTGTGTGTCTTCTCTTGCATTTTGTTGCCGTAGATGATTTATTTCTATGAGTATAGGGTAAGTCAACAGTTTCAGTGTCGGCTGAGGAACCCGTAAGAACATTACACTATTATAGTGACTGTATCAGTGTGGCCATAAGTGCAATAGCAAACTCTCACTAAACCATTGACATAAACATCTGTCCATCAGCTAGCTTAATTAAGCTTATAATAGGTACTAACAAAACCATTTTACATAAACATGTTGTCCATGTTGACTATACATAATTTCTCAAAGAGACATCCGGTATCTGCACCTACTACGAAAAATCTGAATATTGACTTAACTTTATATTAATTTTAGAGACTCGGCAGCCTTGATGGCTCCCACAATTCCGAAGACTTATTTAACAAGTATTTAATTAACACCTGACATTAGACTGGGTAAGAATGGAAAATTTATCATGAGAATTCTTATATCCTGGATCGAAACTTGGACTCGATTAAACACAAAGCTAATTATTTACAGATGAAACAAATTTATTTGGCAAAATCAATCAAAAGCTGAAATAAAAATAGGCACTCAGGGCGAACACACAAATACCACGCACAAGCGATCGATTAAACAAGTTAAACTTTTCAAAAACAAATTCCATTACACGGCAGACCGCCCACCAACCAAAAACTCTTGACGAAAAAGCCACGTTTCATTGTTCATCTCTTCTATTTACCTACCGACTCTTCCCTTTGACATCTTCCGCCTCTTCTTCTTTATCAAAATTAATGCGTCGTCGAACGATCAATTGAACACCATGTGTTTACTACGCCGGAAAGAACATCTGCTTATCTTAAAACTAATTAGCTTTATGCAGCAATATCGACGAACTCTTATCGCGCTGACCGACTTGATAGAGAAAAACTTTTACAAAACAACACGCGATTATTTCCAAATATCCTTAATTTTTAACACGTATCTAAGTAAGATTTACAATTACAAATAAAAATTAAACGTCAACATTGTCCTCGAATTTAAATACCTAATATGATCGAGTCTGTGTTCAATCTAAAATTGGTGACCACCACGTATTCCATATCCACCATGTTTTTTCAAAATTTACTATTGAGTTGCTTGGTTTAACCAAACTGGTAGATAATAAGATGGCCCCCTACTTGTCTTGGTCAAGTAGTTCACTTTCGGAAAAAGTGTACAGGTATTACCACCCTCTTCTGCGCATGAACAGTACTTTGAATGCTTCCTATTCTAGGAAGTTAAATGTTTGTAGGTGTCTGCACCGCAGGAATACAAGCAAAAAATTAAAACCAGCCACTTGGACCAATTTGAAGTCGGTAATTAAAACAACTATTGCATATTTCTGCTTTATTATATAAAAATTTTTATAAATAACACCTCCTTCCTAATCCATACGGGTTTTCAATTCACGCGTTGTTACTTTGTCTTTCTCTCTGAAAGTTAAACGATAAATCTCTCTATTTTATTAAGCAGAGTAACTCTTACATGATATGAACAATCGCACCCCATCCAGAAATGGCATCACGATCAAACGCATTAATTAAGGCCTGAGAAGTAGTCTCAAATAAATCCTCAGGACCCATATTGGGTTCCCACAGTGACTCGCACATGCCGAACAATTGCGCGGAAGCAGATCCGCCGGTAACGAAGTCCTCCGGTTCGTTCCGACAACCAATTAAATCCATGTTGCACACGTACGGAACGTAAGTGAACGGATCTAGTCCGGCTACGATGGGCTCGACGAAGAACGGACCGAATCGCTTCTCGTAAAGCATATTCGAAACCATCGCGCTAAAAACCTTAGGCGACATTTTCCTATTTTCCCTCAGCTCGAATAAGTTCTTTCTGAAACGCAGCTTTTCGAAAACTGTCTGTATGTCGGTCGCGAGACCGGGCAGGCCGAGATATAGGTGGGGGCCCATTTCGAACACCTTCGGGAAGTCCATCGAAACCGTGAGCGCCTGTACGCCGAACCTTTTATCGGTCGCGATCGAAACGCACTTGTCCCCCTTCATTGCGACCATCGCGCTGCCGTTGTAATTTAAAATCGACTGAAAACATTTTCTTTTAGCTGTGTCATATACACTTAACCTCACTTTTCCGGAGGGCACTATCAACACTTTTACTTACCATTTTTGTACTTCTCCCTTTGCGCTAAGCGATTGAATTAGAAAACAGCTAGTAAATTAATTTGCGTTTAATATTACCGCAAATATAAACAATTAACAAGAACACTATAACTTTACTTGTTTACAAGAGAATGAATGGATTTTGAATACAGTTCATACAGAACGGTGTTGCCAGTGTTGTTTGAGAACAAAAATCACATTCTGCATTTATATACAGAGTGCGCCATTTTCGACACTTAGTTATCGCTGTAATTGTAAGTACTATCAAACAAGTATCAATTGTGCACAAACCTTGTGCAGATAAAGCGCACTTGTTTAGCATGCTAAGTTTACCTTCTTGCTAGATGATTAATGGGGCGGGGATCTTTACACATAAACATTCAAAAGCCGCCTGGCATATTGTACATTCAAAATCTATTCTATATGTATATTGCAAGAAGAATCAAGCCCAAGAAATTCTCCAAAATATTGTATTTGCCTTTGTAGATACTCCAACATTTTCGAGATATTCACAGTTAAGTTTTACATCGCCAGTAGATGTATCTTGCCTAGACGATCTTTCCGCCCTTTGAGAGTACACTGCTCCGACACCCCGTTCTGCTGATATTTGTGCTGAAAGACGATCCACTTGCCCTCTATGAGTACCCTCCTCAGACTCTTCGTTTTCAAGATATTCCCTTCGATTTCACTAATAGTCTCGCCCAGACCATTCATTTTGCCTAGGTGATTACTTTCCTCCGACAAAGCGTTTTATAGATATTCGCTTTTAAAGTTTTGACATCAGCAATAGATATATTTCTCCAAGATGCCCCAATCGCCCTCCTCCGACAATCTGTTCTTGAGATATGGGGTCAAACGTAAAATTGTAAAATCAAATTTTTTTTAGTTAAAAGAAATGATGGTTTCAAAAGCTTGTGGCGTTTTTAAAATAAGTAAGCATACGGAAGGAGGAAAAAGTTAAAGGACCTAACCTCAGTTTTTAAATTCTAATCTAAAAAATAAAATATTAAATTACACAACTGTGTAAGTATATAGTAAGTAAAATTGCAGTGTCGGATTGGGGACCCCTAAGATCATCACCTGCTTTTGAGCACTCCGCTCTAAAACCGAAGCGCCGGCTTAGAAGGACATGGCGAGTAGAAAAGGCAAATCTGAAGTAATTAATTGTCCGTCGTGTCGAGTTATGAAGAAACGTGTAACCGCTCAAAATATGCAGCCTGCACTATCGACAGACTCAGTTATTTCAAAAACAAAGATGGCATGGGGCGTTCAATTGTTTTTGCAATAACCTGCTTTAACTTCTTAACCGTTTGACCGATTTTAACAAATTTGGTATCATTGAAAAGAGCATTTCTTGGGCAATGAGAATTAGAATTTAGTTAAATCCTTCTCCGCCAGAGGGCTAGTTTTGGCACATTGACCCAAAATCCTAAAAAATCTAAAAAATCAAGTGGTATGATGACTTTTTCTTTATGAAAAAGTAGCCAAATAACATGCAAAGAGGCCAGTGAAAACCGTTTTTTTCAAAATCTCGTTCCTAACCTCAAATATTAGGAAAATGAAATTAATTAATTAATAAAAGTCATCATTCCATTTGATTTTTTAGATTTTTTTTATCATAGTGTCAAAACTAGCCCCCTGGCGGAGAAGGATTTAACTAAATTAAATATATTTCGGTTAATTCTTGTTGCTCATGGAATAGTCTTTTCGATACCAAATTTGTTACAATCGGTCAAACGGTTAAGAAGTTAAAGCAGGTTATTGCAAAAACAATGGAACGCCCCACACCATCTTTGTTTTTGAAGTAACTGCAGCTTTTGTTTTTACGAAAATGATAGATAAACTGGTTCTCTTTAAAAATGTGAAAAAAAATTTTCAGTTTATTATGCGAAATTTAAAGAAAATGCAATTTTAAAATTTAAGATGGCAGTTACGCCCTTTTTAGAACTTGAAAATATTTTCCAGCGATACTTCATAACCGATTTACCCAATAATTTTTTTACCCCTAAGTCATACGACGAACCTGAAAATATGGCCGAGGGGCGGTCTTATTGGGTCATTTTGATACTTATTTGTTTATTGAAGCATGGCGTCCTTCAACCTTTTGCTTCGAGTTCACGTTTAATTGGTTACGATGTACCTCAAGATGGTTATGCCTTTATATTGTATTATTATGTTGTGTTCATGTGGATGTATATTATCAGTGAGCTGTTGTCACAACATGAATATTAGCTTATACGTTTTTATACAGGGCGTTTAAACTTAAGTCGGTACTAAACTTCAGCAAAATATCTGCAAAAACGCTGTTTTTCTCAACCTCAGCTTTTCGAGTCTAGGGGGGCGGTCTTCCTTAAATTGTGCACTCAACTATATCAATTATGACGTTAGTTTTCGTATGCGCCTTGAATCGCATGGTCTTGACGATTTTCTATTAAAATAGGTGTGGAAAGCATTGTTGCCACTTCAGTAAATTATCTCCCCTAGCCTAAAAACGTGACAACATTGGAACGTTCGTACTGTCAGTGTCATTGTCATGTCATAATAGAAGTAAACCTAAAAATTATCAAATTTATCATAAGAAGAAACATGTATCATTGTTTGGATCTTTTGTACAATAATAATGTCCGATAAAAGCCTAACCGTAAGTGCTAATTGCCAATTAGCAACAAATTTTATGTTCAAGTTTAGGATTGTCAAAGTGACACCGAAAGTTTGGAGGAAGAAATCGAGCCGAAATTGAAATACATCCGCCTAGCGAACCACTTCCACCGCATCCTCCTTAAAGACGCCATTAGCTGCATAGCCGTACACCCACGGGTAACTCGTATCGACGATAACGAAAATAAATAATACCATCGCGCGTTTTAGTTCATATGTTTGGGATCGCATTTCGGTTTCATCTACATATTGGATCATCTGGGAAACATCGTCGAAGGGAAGGAGATACGCGCGCACACCGTCTCCGTTAATCAAATATCGATCGAGACGGCCGGCGAATTTATTGCCTCCTGCTCGGACGATGGAAAAATATTTATGCACGGTTTGTATTCGGACGATCGTAACGATGTCATCAACGTAGGACGGATTGTTAAGACTGTTGCGCTCGATCCCAACTTTCAGAAGTCGAACTCCGGATGTCGCTTTATCACTGGTAATATTCAGAGATAGTGCCATTGTATTTAAATGTTACGGTAGTGTGTTGATCACCCGTTTTTTGACCCATTCGTGAATTGCACCTGTAAGAATTTCCAATCTTGCAGATGTAAGATCTGAAAAAAAAAGATAATCTATTTTTTTGTCTGGAATCTTGCACCACAAAACAAGGTTACTCCTTAGCTAGTTGCATAACCGGGAAATCCTATTCACCAAGTTCTCGAAGTTTTTGTCTGGGAAATCCCACCAAGGTCACCAGTTTGCACTACAAAACAAGGTTTTTGTTTCTCCCACTTACATTAAGTGCACAGAAATAGCCTACTTTCTGTTAGGTTGGGTTTATACAACCATTATCCATAGTTCATTATGAAATAGCGAATAGAAAGTAAGGTATGGTTTCATTGGTCAACGACTAACAATAAACCTTTGTTTCTATTGGCTACAGCTTAATTATATAATGGTAGTGAACTAGCAAAACGTTATGTGTAGATGGTTTTTGGTTGAACGCTTTGGTTTGATTTATGCGCACTTGTCCAATACTCAAATAAGAATCTTTTGTTCTTCTTTAGTCAATTTGAAATGAATAATTTGTCATTTTTTAACCTCACCAATACAAAATTCTATTTACTGATTATAGTTTTCTTTAAACCGCATCTTTTCATATGTGTTACGGAACGAAACGAGCTGAACATTGAAAAAATGTTTCCACTGCAAACTTTGATCTACATTCGAAATGCGCATGTCTGACGACTTTTTGCCGAGGCCAGCATTTGTTCGAAATGATCAAAGTGGGCCAAAAAAATCGTGGAAATCCTATTTTTAGGTTTCGAAGATGGCCGCCAGGGAGCGTAACCGCTATCCAAAACTTTTGAATTTTAAATGTCGAGTTTGTTTAGCACGTTTCACTTATCTATTAAGTTGAAGTGGGTTGGAGGGGGTTTGGGGTGATTTAATGTTCCTTTAAATAAACAGCTGTAACACCTAAACGGGGGGAACGGATTTGAGCAAAGTTGGTCTCTTCTCACCTACTGTAACATTTGAAATACAATTGTAATACCACGGGACGCTGAATGAAAACTTGCAGGTGATCAGAATTTGACCTTGTACGAGAGGACGTTCTTGGGCCGCCTGCGACCGACGGTTCTATGCGACAGCGAGGGACTGGTGAGCAGTATCAGTTGGGGCGAGAACTTCGTCGCATGGTCAAGCGATATCGGCGTACGAGTTTACGACCTAAACGCGCGGTGTTCCTTGGGTCTGATCAAGTGGGAGATTCAGCATGGGTGGGTACCGAGCCTGAGATTCCTTATAATTTTGTGGCCGTAGGACGTCTCTAGATAAATTTCGTTGCAATTTACGCTGGGCCGACGCAAGGACGCTATTAATCGGATGGGTCGATACGGTACGAGTTTGTATCATACGCAAAAGGAATAGCATCGAGCTAGGCAATCGCGATTTACCGGAATACTTGGTCGATCCTGGTGAGTTTATGTCGAATTTAAATTGTCATCAGCGTAATTTTTGTAGTGTCGACGTTTCAAACCGAATTTTACATTAGCGGTATCGCACCGTTAGACAATCAGTTGGTGCTGTTGGGCTTTTCCAAAGAATTCGACGCCAACCAAAAGTCCTTGCGTCCACAGTTGTTTATTGTAGAGTACCGGGATAACGATTACATTGATGTCTGTACCGAGAGCCTTTCGTTACGTGGCTACGAGGAGTACACAGTAAATGATTATCATCTAGAGGTCTTGCTAGAAGAAAACCGGTTTTTTATAGTTGCTCCAAAAGATGTCGTCATCGCTAGTCCATATGATCTTGACGATAGAATACAGTGGCTAATACAGCATGGGTAGGTAACATTGTTTTTGCATTTTGTCAATTGTGTTCAATTTAAATTTAAAAACAACGCCGTTTCTACATACGCGGTGACTACAACGCAAAATTTAACGGGAAATTATTTCGTTCCCGATACAGTAATCACACTCCACACCAATAAATAAAAATCTCTGCTCGGGCGCCATTGTAACGGTTTGCCGTGTACTGAATCGCGTTGTAGGTAAGGCTAAGGGCCGCTTAAATCTTTTCCACTAGGTAGCTCTCTGGCGGAGGCACGGAGTCCTTTTTGTGAAATGCAGTCCAACAATTTATTTACATGAAAAACTGTAATGATTGTACAAACCTTTGAATTTACGACATTAATGCCATCTAGCGGTTGCAAACTGGCCGGCGTTCGGCTGCGTTTTGCGCTTAAGGGTTTTAAATAAACAAATAAATAAAAATCCCTGCTCGGGCGCCATTGTAACGGTTTGCCGTGTACCGAACCGCGTTATAGGTAAGGGTAAGGGCCGCTTAAAACTTCTTTTCCGTTAGGTAGCCCCAAGGCGGAGACACGGAGTCCTTTTCGTGAAATGCAGTCCAACAATTTATTTACATGAAAAACCGTAATGATTGTACAAACCTTCGAATTTGCGACATCAATGCCATCTAGCGGTTGCAAACTGGCTGGAGTTCGGCTGCGTTTTGCGCTTAAGGGGTCTAAATAAACAAATAAATAAAAATCCCTGCTCGGGCGCCATTATAATGGTTTGCCGTGTATTGTTGATGAATGGCTCCATATTCGACAACCGTTTGCCGTGTACTAAACCGCGTTATAGGTAAGGCTAAGGGCTGCTTAATTCTTTTCCACTAGGTAGCTCTAAGGCGGAGACACGGAGTCCTTTTCGTGAAATTCAGTCCAACAATTTAATTACATGAAAAACCGTAATGATTGTACAAACCTTCGAATATGCGACATCAATGCCATCTAGCGGTTGCAAACTGGCTGGAGTTCGGCTGCGTTTTGCGCTTAAGGGGTCTAAATAAACAAATTAATAAAAATCCGTGCTCGGGCGCCTTTGTAACGGTTTACCGTGTACTGAACCGCGTTATAGACACCGAAAACCTTGATCCAAACCTCTATTTGATTGAGAACAAGAAAATCGGCTCCGTCGGCTGCCATGGTTATTACTTGGTGCCATTATTTATGTGTTTATGTGTTCACTACCTCAGTTAATCGTTGGTGTGCGCTTTGCACTCGCAGACTGGGCCCTGACGTTGGGCACCAATTGTTATGGGGTCAGTGTGGTTGGGGACTCCGTTAATATACGAGAGATAAATATCTTTACAACTTATCTACCATGTACATATATGCAAGGATGCGTCGTTCCGCTGCCGGACGGTGCGGCGGCGGGTTGGACTGCTGCGTGTCGGCAGCGGAGCATGGATGAGTCGCGACTTCCAGTCTCAGAAGCCGCTTTAATGGGTAAGAACACTCGCACCGCGTTGGATTGGACGAGTCTTGTTGACCAATTACAGGCGTACTTCGGAACTACTTCATTAAGTGACGCACAAACATCAGATGAGGTTCTTCTTCTTTACTTTAATTGCACTTAAATTTAAATAAATTTAGACGAGACTGGACTATTGGCTCTTTGATGGTGGAAAAACTCGCTTTAAAGGGTCCTGAGAAAGGCTTCACATAAGCGCCAACTGCTTGACAAATACACTCGGACTACCTAATACACTTTCATCTCTTTAAACACTAACGTTTTTCGACAAGTTTCCAATTAAACAAGACTGACTTCAAAAAGCTTCGCTATCGGCAAACCGCCAAACACATAACGTCTACCACCAAAAAAGCCACGATTAAACTCCGTCTCTTCTATTTAAAACAATTTCCCCTTTCAACTTTCCGAAAAAAATTACTGCGTATCGCTGTGTTTAGGTCGGCGAAAAAACATTGCTTATCTAATTTCAACGATAACATTCTTATCGCAATAACCGGAGATAAACTTTTACAAAATATTTCACGCAAATATCTCCGAACAATATAGTAAACAAATTAAAATGATTGTTCATTTATGGATTATTAGTCTATTAAACAACAATAAATGTTACCTCGATTCTGCGTTGGAAAGCAATAATTTTGTAAGCCCACAAGTATGTTCTTAGTAGCAATTTGTTCAGATGACAACAGCTTTAAATCCTTGCCATTTGACTATTCTACAACGTTCACACGCTTTCTAATTTCCGAGGAAGATTGTCTCTGCTAGGTAGCTAGGTACTAGATATTTCTAACCTAGTAGAAAAGAAGTTTTAAGCGGCCTTGGTTAACCTATAACGAGGTTGAGTACATAGCAAACCGGTTACATTGGCGCCCGAGCAGGGACTTGGGTAACCGTGAACATTAACCGCATTCTTTTGAGTGTGACTACTTTATTTGGGGGAACGAAATAATTTTGCGTTGTAGTCACCGCGTCTGTAGAAACGGCGTTGTGATAAATATTTGTAGTCGTTTCTGACATTTTAAAAATTTGAAACTTTGGAAATCTTGAAATTTTTAAAAAATCATCTTCCTAGAATAAATCGAACACAACCTTTTTTGCAGAAAATTCGAAGAAGCTCTCAACGCGATCGCTCAGAGTAACGGTGCGCGCGATTCGCAATTTACAGTCGAAACGGTCGGCATCGCCTACTTGGATCACCTACTCAGCAAGGGCCTGTACGACCGCGCGGGCAAGTTGTGTATGAGCATTTTTGGACACAAAAAAGACGTATGGGAGGAGCAACTTTTCAAATTCGCCACCGTACATCAGCTACGGTAATGGGTAAGTGCCACAAACGGAAGTGGTCTCACCCGCATGTTTCAGATCGGTCAGCCCTTACATCCCTCGCTCACCCGAGTGCACGTTGGATCCGCATATGTACGAGATGATTTTGTACGAATACCTCAAGCTGGACGCCAAAGGTTTTTTAAATGTCGTAAAAGAGTGGAAGCCGAGCCTGTATAATACTTGCGCCGTAATTAACGCAGTTCTAGAGCATCTTCTAATTTGTGATAATAATAGGAAAACTTACTTAGAATCGTTAGCCATTTTGTATAGTTACGAAAAGAAGTACGACAAAAGCCTTAGCATGTACTTACAGTAAGTAACCGGTTAGAACTACCAACTCGAACTCATGCCATCTCGTGTTTCAGACTCAAAAATAAGGGCGTGTTTAACCTGATACAGGAGCGCAATCTACACGGCGTCATACACAACATGATTTTGGACTTGATGAATTTAGACAAAGACAAGACGGTGGCCTTGCTTTTGGAGAAAAATCAGGTGCCGCCCGAGGTCGTGATCGAGAAACTGAGCGATCACGAAATGCAACTGTACTGGGTACGCTTAGCGCATTGGCTGTCGGTTAATAATCTTTGTTAGTATTTAGACGCGTACGACAAGAGCAATCCCCAAGGTCAGTTCCACGGTAAACTGGTCAAGTTGTATGCCGAATACGATCGGGAGAAGCTGCTACCTTTACTGCGCCGATCGGATCACTATCCCATCCAGGAGGCCTTGGATATATGCCAAAGGCAAAAGTTCTATCCGGAAATGATCTATCTGCTGGGGCGTGTCGGCGATACCAAGGAGGCGTTGGAGTTAATAACGAAGGAACTGAAGGACATGCAGCAGGCGATCGAATTCTGTCAGGAGCACGACGATCCCGATTTGTGGAACGATCTCATAAATCATTCCTTGGATAAACCTGGTAGGTACGATGCATCTATCTAATCTGGAGGGAAATGGTTTTCAGTGTTGCCATTTTTTTTTGTTATTTATTTATTTATTGTCCCACTCTTGTTCTGGACCTTCAACAGGCTTTCTGCCCAATTCCTTATCATTTAAATACATTAAGAAAGTTTTGCGCATGCGCAGTACGATGTTTTGCGCATGCGTGGTATTTTCTTTTATTAGTGGAAGCTACCATACAAATTTCGTTCAAATTGCTGTATAAATAAAAAAAGTTGCGTTTTGCGCATGCGCAGTAGGATTTTTCTAACGCCAATACATCACAAAAATCCCTTCTACAAGGAATTAGAGTTGGGGGGGGGGGCATGTAACCCATATGTAGGTGGCCACCCAGTCATAGGACCGTTGACGCATTGCCTCGGCGGATGCGCAATCGAACTGCGAGGTCAACACACCAAACCGCAACTCGATACGTCTTCCCGTTCTCCAGTTATGACGTCATAACTTTTCCTTTACGCAACAGAGGGGTGTGGAGGGGGGGGGCGGGTGCGCAAATCGCCGTCGATTCTAGAACGCATGCTTCTAACCGTCGTCTTTGCCGAATAAACGCCAAAATAAGAAAAGAGTGCAATTTATGAGCAATTTGTGGGGGGAGGGGGGGGGGGGGGGGTACGAGCCGACGCCTTTTAAATGCAGTCGATCTACGAAACCGACGCATAAAACCGTGACTCCACCCACTACCATTCATTCGTTCGCGCCGTTGAGCGAGCGTTTTTTCGTATCTTCACTTCTAGTAGTGTGATGTTTCACAGTGTATACAGTGTATAGGTTTGAAAATGTTACCTCCACGTTGGTTACGCATTTTTCTATCTAACTCGTTGACTTGTAATTTGTCCTTATGTTATTAACTCGTTGTATAAAAGATACCTTTTTTTTGGTTGGCTATATAAATTACCCTGTTACGTATTTTGTAGTAAAGAAACAATCAGTCCTATGATGTATCAAATCCGTTACAAATAACGGAGCCGTTATGAACCAAAACTAACCAATTTCCGTTAGTAGCTAAGATTTCGTATGATGTATCAGATTGTAAGTATGGTTATCTTAACGGATCCGTACACGTTGCCCGGTTATGAGTAAAATAACGGACTGTCGTGAACGGAACAAAAATTGTGGAAGTTATGTGTTTAACTGGGGTACAGAGTAAATAGTTTGCGTATTTTGTATTGCGATCAATCAATCATTCAAAATCCAAATACATTTTGCAAGTTACATCTAATACATAAATGGAGGGATTACTCAATATTCAATCAATTAATTCATGTTGACGAAAGGTAAGTGAGAAATACCTACTCTTTGGTGAAAATAAGTAGTGTATAATTCCTGTAGGAACCGATTAAGAATAAAACGACGACAACTTAGAGATGCAAGTGATGCCTTTCAATTGAATGAGGACGTTTTTATAAAATATTTTCGGTTAACACAAAATGTTGCATTTCATTTAATTAATTTATTGGAACCCCATTTACAATCACCCTCTCGAGGATCTGCTGTACCTCTTCAGTTAAAGGTAGTGGTAAAGACTACGTCCCTATAATTCCATATTCTGGTTGTAGGTTTTAAGCGTTTTCCGTGGTCCGATTCCTTTAGCGTTTATATTTGTTGCAAATGAATCCCATAATGCTCTTACTTTCGTGGCTTCTTTTGGACTGGTCTTCCCCGTGATCAGTATTTTATTTGCCTTCAGAAAATCCAGCAAATATTCATATTGGTCGTTTGTCGTTTTTTGCAAGCGTTTTCTTTGCACATTTTGCGTGCACCCATGTATATCCATCGTGTGGTTTTGAAGAATAACGACGCTTCGGTCCGTTTATAAAAACAAGACGGAAACAAATGTCAGTTTACTTGTCAGCGTAACGGAATGCCCGTTTTAACGATACGGGTGATCTGTTTTCTTTGTCGAGCATAGCGTATATTGAATACTTATCACTCTCTCTACATTTAAGGCTGTCTAAAACTAAACCAACGACAAAACTTTTTTCCTTTACTCAACGGAAGCGGTTATAGTAGTGATATGTCATACTAAAAAATTGCTTCTCCGTTTAAGAGTAGGTTAAGGTACTCCGTTAAAGTTACGTAACGGATTGCGGATATTAGTAACGAATTTGATACATCATAGGACTGAATGTGGTATTGGTATATCCAAAACTTAATTCGGGTAGATTTATGACAAGAAAATTTGGGAACGCGCCAATTTGAAGATCAAAATCGATACGTTACCTGAATTATATTTTTAAATCAATAAATACTGGCAAATGTTTGCTTTATTTGAGGCAAACGTTATAGGTTACAATTCAAACAATATAACAATTCGATGTAATCTTCCTAAAAAAATCGAATCTAAATCAATTCATAAATGGAGGAAATATTCTAATGATTTGCAATTACGTTCATAGGAATTGCGAGTTGTGAGAATTTTTCCTAGGAAAAGTCCTTTAGCTGAAATTAGTTTTATCCTGTTTTGACCTTCAGGTTAGATTTATCATTTGTTAGGGGAAGTTTTTGATATATGGGTAAAAAAAACTTTCCACTAGTGTGGGTCACTTTCATTTAAGATTAATATACAGGGCGTTGATACAATTTATCTTGAAGATTTTGTGCATGTAGGTCAATACACCACCCACACAAAACACTTGTCCAGCTAGCTCAAAACAAACCAGAATTGAAACTTCAAATTTTATAATCTGTCGTACACATCCTGTATCTGCTATAACGAAAAACCCCAACCTAAAACTTTCTCACTTTCAGAGACTCGGGGGGGGGGGGGGCTTTGATCAATTTCCCAAAATTCCAAAGAATTTATTACACAACTTTTGATTAACACCTGAAATTAATCTCGGTCACGAACCCGATGCGAAACCACAAAGGATTCGAATAAACACAATTGATTGAGAATGACAAACATTTATTCCGAAATCCCCGAAATAAAGAAACGCTTACAAAGCTTGCTTAGACATATTACCCCGCACGCAAGTGGTGGACAATTAAAATAAGATCATTTACAGTTTTTTCTTAATAATCTAAATAATCTGGTTGTAAAAGGTCTGTGATATTCAGTCACACTTATCAAAGACACAAAAACACTCGCTAACACCTTCACTGGATCTTGATAAATAAGGTGAGAAATTTTCGTTTTTTCTGCATATCTCCGGAACTAGTCAATTTTTTCAGTTTCAAAACGGCATTTTGTTAAGCATCAAAATACGCAGCTTTGCCAAATTCAAACTGCCTACCTATCTCTTACAGTTTCCGAGATCCCCATGGTGACCCTCGAATTTGAATCAGCCCGTATATTTTGCAGTTTTTGAAAAGATCGTAAAATTGCCTAAATTTTGGTGTATCACTTATTATATTTATATTAAACATTATTTGCAATGTTGCATTTTATACATTAAAATGTTTTATTGTAAGCAACCTAGGTTTCTAGGGAGAACAAAAGATGGCATTGTGTAAAAAGACAGTTTCTTGATTATTTGGAAATATATTAGTTTCCAAATATTTTTAATTTCAAATAACAGACAAAAACAAAAAACGTGAAAACCCATGCGAATAAAACAAATATGTCATATAATATATAAATAAATGCCATCTTTTGTTCGCCATGGAAACCTAGATGCGTACAATAAAAACATTTTAATGATAAAATGCAATATTGCAAATAATATTTAATATAAACATCAAAATTTAGGCAATTTTACGCTCTTTTAAAAAAGTCCAAAATATATAGGGGGGTCCATATGAAAAAATATAGTTTAGGGTCGTATTTTAAGAAAAACCAAACATCCTGTATAAAAACTGTGCATCGCAATGGATTCTACATAAAAAAGTGCCCTAAGAAAGATTTTGCCAAAATCAATTATCTTTAATAATAAGAAAGTCATGGGGCATTAAGGAAATCGACTCAATTCGAGAAACGCCGTCTGGCGGCCAAACGATTAGTGATAGCTGAATTCTGTTTGCGCCAGTGATTTCTCTTTGAAATTGGGCTACAGACTCCTAGGTCCATTTTTTCCTATCTGTTAAAATAAAGGGTGTTTCCATACCAAAGTGTCCAATTTGGACCACCCTGTACATGGTAGTCGCATTATAGGCCAACATTCGGTCGCTCTATTATTTATGAGTGTATGGTTTGCGGGTACGGCACTGGCCGATTAACTGCGTGAGCAAATTAGTAACGCCCGTCTGACGGGGGATAAGGCAGAATTTAAGGGTTATATGTGTCACAAATTTAAAGTACGTTGGTTGGTGGCAAAGTTTTTATAATTGTGGATAACACTTCTTTACAAAAATTGTAGTTTTGAAGATAGCTGTATAATAATGATTTAAAAAAATGACTGAAAAGTACAGTGGCGACAATAGGAGCCCATTCGCCATGTTGCATCGAAAAATGCAATATATTACAATATATTTACTCGACGCAACTTGGCCGCGGATCTCAATACCCAATCAAAAATAAGACACTCTATTGTCGCCACTGTCTCTATAAGTACACTGTACACATAGATATATTAATACCACTGTACACTAAAGATAGAGTGATTACTGTGCGTGACCTCTGTTGACAGAAAAAGAAACTACGAAATGAAATCAATGGCAACGATCTCTCTTACACGAACTTACAGAAATGGCTATTTTCGAGATATTGCCATCAACTTCTTTAATTTAAATGGACGCCATATTGGATTTTTACGTCACTAGATAGACAAAACAATTACAAAACCAGTGATACTAAACACATAGTAATTCATTTGGAACTCAACCTTGCATTTTTGCCTCGAAGTTTACAATGTATTTCTTATGGCAATAATTCCATGGCTGATTGTGATTGATTGAGTGTTCGTTTATTGTCTCGCAGTCACCATCGACATTGCCCAGGAATTATTGCCATAAGAAATACATTGTAAACTTCGAGTGACGTTAAATCCAATTTAAGCAGTCCATTTAAAATAAGGAACATAATGTCAATATCTCGAAAACCGCCATTTTGAAAAATTTTTGTTTACACCCATTGAATTTATCCCATCGAATTTTACAACTTTTATTTGAAACTTTTTTCGGTAGTTCTATTTGTTATTAAAATATTTGAAGTTTTTACAAAATTCAATTTAAGACACGCTGTATATACTACAGCTGACTCGTCCGCCATTTTGGAATTTAAAGGCGCGTATACATCTGAGCATTGGGTCGAATGAGCAAGGCGAGCGCGAATGAGCATTTGGAAAGGGGGCTGAGTACACATCTGAATGGGACACGCGAGCGAGACACATGAGCTTCGCTCAATGAATGCTCGTAGTGCGCGTTTCAATATGTATGTCCTTTCCGTTCCCTGTCGATGTCCACACTGAGCACGTATGAGCGTGTTCGCCGCAAGCGCTCGCTTTGATCTACCGACAAAATTTGGATCGGGTCGAGCGTGCTCGGCGCACGTTGCTCAGTCGTCCACATTTGAATGCTCACTCGCGCTCGCCTTGCTCATTCGGACCCAATGCTCAGATGTATACGCGCCTTAAGATAAGACAAATCTTAAACAGTTTTTTGTGCACATAAGATTTGGACTGCCAGTGGGCTATAAAATGACCTTAATCAAGTACTGTACTTTTATTGGTGTTCTGCAACTCATCAAGAAACCTACTTTACCGACATTGAATTTTTTTAGCCAAACTGTAAACCACAAGATGTGACTGTGATTCTTCCTCTTTCAGAATTCATTACCTACCTTCTCCAGCACATCGGCACCTATGTGGATCCGACAGTGCTCGTGAACAAAATAAAAAGCGGCGAACAGATCCCCGGCCTCAAAAATTCGCTCGTGAAAATGTTGCGCGACTACAACCTGCAGGTTTCCGTGCAGGAAGGCTGCAAAAAAATCCTCGTGTCCGACTACTTCAACTTGCACAACAAATTGGTCCGTAGTCAGCAGAGGGGCGTAGGCGTGATCGACGAGATGGTGTGCAGCGCCTGTCATCGTTCCGTTATCACGCGAGGTAAGTGCTGATGAAACCCGGCCTTCGTAATCTACTCGCTGTTTGCAGACGTGCTGAGGCTAAATAATATCGTCGTCTACAACTGCAAGCATTGCTTTCACGAGCAGTGCGTCGGCAACCAAACGTCGAACTGCGGCATCTGCCACCCGACTAAGAACACGTAGCGTCAGGTGAGTGGTTTAATCGTCGTTACATTGACAGAAGCGTTTAAAGTGCGCGATTGTGAAGTCGAGAATGTCTTCCGGTTTCATAAAGATCGTCTGCTGGATGTAGTCGGCCATCATGCTTTTTAATTCGGGATGGTCGGCTAAGTACGTCTTGATGTCCATCGTGTATTCCGTTTTGCAATCGAGAAATTTCGACATTAACTGCATGTCCTTCTCCCAAACGTGCTGCAGGAGAAGGTGCTCGTTTCCGATGGGCTTTTCATTGTGAATGTACGCCAAGGGGTTGACCTGTAGGATGTAATTGCAGCTGGCCCATTCTTGTTTAACAATTTGACCTGAAATTAACCGTTAGTTTTGGGTGAAGCTTGCGATTGACTTACCGTGCAGTGTCAAAATGGTTGTACTGTAGTGTACAATTCCGCATTGTTCGATAATTGTTCGTTGAATTTTGCACAAGTCTAATTTTTGGTCATTGACAATTCCCTTTTCCACGCCACTGCATTTCTAAAAGCAGCATTTGTTTCCGAATTTATTAACTACATTTTGTAAGTGTCACTTTTGATTTTTGGCAGTAAAATCGCTACATAAGTAAGAAAGTTACTACTGCGCACGCGCGTATTCAAATGCGCTGCGCAATTTGTTATTTATTACCTCGTTTATTATATTTTGTTGGAAGTTTTAACCACACCTACTTCTATAGAGCATTCGCACCTTAGTATGCAGTATGGGGTCTTATGGACTATATCCCTCCTTTACTAATTTGCGTCATTCTTCAATAACGCTATCCTTATTCCTTACCGCAATGATGCCAAACTTACATATGATTGAATTTAAGCTTTAAAACAAAATATAACGTCAAATCTTCTTGTATTGTCATTACGTGTGTGGTTCGTTTTTGTCTTTCGTATTTAACACATTTTATTGTCTCATTGCTTTAAAAATCGTTCTTTTAAGAACGCCTCCATCTCGTACTTTATATACAAGGTAACTTTGAGTGTTCTTGTAGAACCGTTATTTGATTTCATCTTTTTAGAATATCCCATTAAATGGAAGCCGAAGCTGAAGCAGGATCTGCTAACGTGAAACGCCATAAAGGAGAGTGTTTTAGCCGAAAGGAGAAACACCTCATTATCAACGTGCTGAACTATTTCTCGGGAACGATGAACGTTACTGCAGCTGTGAAAGAAGCAAGTAAAGCTTTATGTTGTTCTGAACGGAGCATCTATGCCATTAAAAAGGAAGACGGAAACGAAGGTGTATCAAGCCCGAAAAAACGCAAGCAAAGAAAAGGGAAACAAAGCAATGATCGTCTTCATGTGTGTGATGAAAATGTGCAATCAGTTATTCGACGTAAAGTGCATAACTTCTTCATTACAAATATTCCACCAACTATGAACAGCATCTTAGCTTCCGTAAATGACGATAACGATCTACCCAACTTTAAACGCACCACATTATTCAATCTCTTGAAAGATATGGGTTTTGAATTTAAGAAGGTTGGCCGCAAGAGTATCCTTATTGAACGGGATGATATTATACGATGGAGACATAAATACCTACGTCGCATCAGGAAGTTGAGAGAAGAAGGTGCTTAATCTTTTTATTATATTTAATTGCAAATTACATAATATTTATATTTTAGGTAAAAATATTGTGTATACGGATGAGTCATGGGTTAACATTGGTCATTCGGTGAGCAGGGCGTGGCATGACACCACCGTTGAAAGCAATCGTCAGGCATTCATCAAAGGACTCAGTACAGGTTTAAAATCACCCACTGGTCTAGGGCCTCGCTTTGCGTTAGTACATGCTGGTGGTGATAATGGTTTAATTCCGGGCGCGGAACTGACTTTTCTCTGCAAAAAGAACACTGCTGATGCACACAACGAAATGGATGCAGACACTTATGAAAAGTGGTTTTTTGAACAGCTTCTACCAAATGTGCCACCGAATTCAGTCATTGTTATTGACAATGCCTCGTACCACAGTAGAAAGTTGGAGAAGATACCAACAATGTCGTGGAGAAAAGAACACATTATAGATTGGCTTCGTGAGAAAAATGTACCGATTGAAGAAAATCCATTAAAACGAGACCTACTGGCTTCTGTTGCGCATGTTCGGCATCACTACGACAAAAATAAGCTTGATGTTATTGCACAAGAAAAAAGGTTACGAGATTCTCCGTTTACCTCCATACCATTGTGAATTAAATCCCATTGAAATGGTGTGGGCTCAAGTTAAACATCATATCAAAATGAATAACAAAACATTTAAAATAAAGGACATGGAAGAATTAATAAAAATGGGTTATTCACAAGTTACGGTTCAAAATTGGCAACATTATGTCAATCACGTGAAAACTATCGAAGATGGCATGTGGGCAGCAGATTATCTTCAAGATGATGTTGAAGAATTTATAATTCAAGTGTCGCAGTCATCTTCCGATGAATTTCAATTCGATTCCAGTGACTAATATGTATTATACTGTACATTTGTAAATTTTTGGGGACTTAATAAATACAAGCTGTTCTCGGCCACATTTGACAAACAATTACAACTTGTTATTAATTTACCTTTTTGACTTCTGAGGTTAGGTTAAAAAGTAATAAATAGTGTCTAAACTACCGTTTTACGGTGCAGTAATCGATCATATAATAAGTTTGGCAAGCATGTACTGTTTCTCCATAAGCCCCATACTGGGATAATGGTTGGTAGAAATTAATTCCTTTAGGTTGAGACCTTTCATTAGAGTACCATGAAGGATAAAACTAGTTCCACTCAAACCCCCTCCCCCTCCACCCCGTACTTTGATAAGAGGGCAGTTTTTAATCCTTCTTGGAACTTGGAAGTTTTTAATCCTTCTTGGAACTTGGAAGTAGTCAGAATAATGTTTATTTTGTGCTTGTTTCATTGCACAGCCCTGACACGAAATATTATTATTGATCGATTAATACGAGTATAAGTGCCCTTTCGTATATATTTTTATAAAACATGACAGTACTATGCAAAGTTAGGTTATAAAAAAATTACAGAAATTTAGATTTTGTTTCAATTTTTTTAAGTTGGCAGCAAATTTGCCCAAAAAATTCCGGTACTTTCTATATCTAGTGACTTTAGCCTTCTAATGACGTAAGCGACCTCCCTTTTGTATAGAACATTTTTTATAATAAGGTCGATATTTACCTAGAGATAAATACAAACAACAAACGAGCACAAACGAAGCACAAACGATTCCAGTAGTTTTTTTGACAATATTAAGATTGGGCGGGGGTCGCATTTCGTTGGCCCCGCCCACCGTTTCTCTGGGAAAACAAATAGCACAAACGATAATAATTCCAGCACAAACGATTCCAGTACTTTGTTTTACAATAGTAAGGTTGGGTGGGTGTAGCATTTCCTTGGCCCCGCCCACCGTTTCTCCGGGAAAGCGAGTAGCACAAACGAAAATATTTGAACTTTTTAAAAATGGCGATTTTCACTTTTTTTCAATTATCTACGAAACGATTTATTTTTTTAAAATATCGCAACTGAAAATCCATCAGCATCAAAAACAACTTTGTCAATTTAACGGAATCTGTGAGTATAATAATATTAAAGATAGCCATGTTATCTTATTCAATTTAAGACACCCTGTATACATCTTACAGTATGGCCGCGGCATAGCAAAAAGGGCGACGCGTTAAAAAAGGTAGATACCTAGATGCACTGCAAAAGTTAATTTAGCGTAAAAGTAAACCATACGCAGTTTCAGTATTTGCCTACAGACGTCTCTGAAAGCAGTCTATTTATTCTTTTTCTTTTGCTACGTACGCGGTACAGAACAGGATGCCGGTGACGTATGCGACACGAAAGTTACATTGTAAACATAGCGACACTCTTTTTATTTCATTGTTACTGGACCCATAATGTTAGATTACAGGTTGTATTGAAAGTTGTTAGAGGACTGTAATTTAATGGTCAAAAGTAATTCCTGGGCATTTATGTTTATGTGCTTACGACTACCACTTTTTATAAATAATTAAATCGTACCCCCACAATATACACGGTGTCAATTTTTCGAGTGCCACTATAGAGATCTCACTTATCTTAAGAGATAGAAAGTTGGTTAAATAGGGGCGAAGTTGCCAATTTTCGTGCTGAATAAGAATCTGAAAAGAAATTTGAAATATCTTCAATAGTTTTGAACATAGACATTTCTAGTTAACACATTCGGACACTTTTTAATGGAGATTTCAAATATGGCATCCTGTTTTTAATTACTTTCAAGATGACGTAGAAACACGTGGCAACTTTAGTTTTTCTTATGGGCGCCATTTTGAATTTTGACATTTTGGGATTACGCCTTTTTTTGTCTTTACAGCGATATATCACACATGGTGGTTCAGTATCACATTTGTCCTAAAAATACAATTTTTAATTTTTTGAGAAGAGTGCTTTGGAAAAACAAAACGTTTTTTTGTTGTAAACAAAAGTTTGACAGTATGATCCATCTGTCTGGTTACAGCGTTGTCAGAGAAGTAGAAATTCGATTTTCATCTGAACAGAATTGAACCTTCGTTTTGCAAGAAAATTAAAATTAGAACATATCGTTGTAAAGAGAACAAGTTAAAAAGTAATCGTAAACGATTTACATAAAGCGCATTTCCACTTGCATTCATTTCCCATTTGTAAGATGCAACTTCTATAAAATCATAAAAATCCGGCCACAAATATGAAAGATAGCGTTGCACATGGGCAATCCATTTTTGTCGTGCTACTTCAATGTCAGTTTATGAGAAGAATTTCATTTAAATGCTTTTCTAAATAAGAAAGTTGGAACTCCGCATGCGCCAACCTTAATTTTGAAACTAATGTTAGATTTTCCTTTGTTCCAAGCGCCTAAATATCAAATTTCACTTAAATGCTTCCATAGATAAAAAAGTTGGCACTGCGCATGCGCAAAATAAAATTTTGAAATTGGCGTTTGATTTTCCTTTATCCCAAGTGCCTATGTATCAAATTTCGTTTAAATTCTTCCATAAATAAAAAAAGTTGGCACTGCGCATGCGCAAAACCAATTTTTGAAATTGGCGTTTGATTTTCCTTTATCCCAAGTGCCTATGTATCAAATTTCGTTTAAATTCTTCCATAAACAAAAAAGTTGGCACTGCGCATGCGCAAAACCAAATTTTGAAATTGGCGTTTGATTTTCCTTTATTCCAAGTGCCTATGTATCAAATTTCATTAAAATGCTTTTATAAGTAAAAAAATTTGCAATTCGGTTTATAAATGGTCGAGATGCGAAAAGGGCACTGTGAATTTTGAATCGATTCGATTCAACTTTTGGCGTTGCGTATTATAAATGGCTAAAGCTATGCCCATATTTAATTTCATGCAATTCAGTTCATAACTAACGGAGATGTAAAAGTGATCGAACATTTCTAAACAAAGTTATCGTTCACACGGACAGATAGATGGACAGACAGACAATGGAACAGACGGACAGACCAACCGACAGGCGACAGATAGCAATGCAAAATTATAAACGATCTCTAGGATCGTTAATAAACGGCAAAAGTGTAAAATTATGGAACATGTAAAAACGGTTTTTTGTTTTTTTTTACAATAACTTTTTTTGTAAGCGGTACAGAAAAAATTCCTTCCTTGGTACAAGACTCGACACCATAACGAACCAAATAGCGAAAAAAGTAGAACAATAGCTCGTAAGATAAAGAACTAGTAGCGCCGCAAAACGAGCGGACGGACAACCGGACGGACGGACGGACGGACGGACAAAGTGGCCACAATAGCGCATTTTTTTTTATTTTTGTGGAAATGCGCTAAAAAAAGACGTAATCCCAAAATGTCAAAATTCAATATGCCGCCCATAAGACAAGCTAAAGTTGCCACAATGAATAAAGAATACCAGGAAGGAGCATTACTCAGGTTGTATACAAGAGAGACTGGGACGGAAGTCGGCCATTTGAAAAGCCACTTATGACTAATTTTTGTTGTGGTTTTTGCAGACATAAAATAATGGTTAGTTGTTGTGCGTGTGGTTGCTCCAAAACGGAAAAAAATAGAAGTTTGGGAATTACATTTCATGTGTAAGTATTGATACCAATATTATTTTTATATAGTACATGTAAATTTACAAATTTTTTATCGGAATGTAGTTTGAGGTTAGTTAAACAAAAGTCATAGGCCGAGTAGACACATAGGGGTTTAGATTGTTTTCGTGTAAAATTCTTTATAATTGTATCCTTCTACAACTGTAAGGTAGGTACGCCACTGGAACAGGAAACTACTGTCCGCCGTTTGCAAAAGCCATCGCGATCTCACGTAAATTGTTGATATTCTCTTTCCTGGTATTCTTTATTCATTGAGTTGCCTAATTAAAAACAGGATGCCATATTTAAAATCTCCATTAAAAAGTGTCCGAATAATGTGATAATTAGAAATGTCGACTACGATTAGTTTATCATACAAAAATTAAAAACGAAAATCAAAAATTTTCGTTTTTTTGCGATATCTTCAAAACTATTGAAGATATTTCAAATTTATTTTCAGATTCTTATTCAGCACGGAAATTTGCAACTTTGCCCTCATTTAACCAACTTTCTAGATATGTGAGATCCCCGTGGTGGCATTCGAAAAATGGACACCGTGTATAGTGAAACAAAAACGTAACCCGAAGTATTTGAAGAATCCAAATATCTTTTACAAAAAAAATCATATTTGAAAACAGATAGGTACATATACTGGGTGACCCAATAAGACTGTTTCTCGGCCATATCTCGAGAACCGTTCGTCGTATGACTTAGGAGTAACAAAAATTATTGGGTAAATCGGTCATGAAGAATCGCTGGAAAATATTTTCAAGTTCTAAAAATGGCTACCAGAGGGCGTAACTGCCATCTTAAATTTTAAAATTATTTATTCTCACAGTTTGTGCCTCTTTGGTTTCGGAGATATTTGGAAAAATCAAATGAGGGCTAAGCATTCCCCTCAAAAATTAAACTTTTTTATACCCAAAGTTACACAATTTCGTGTACAACCATTTTCTTCACTGAACACAAGTAATTGTTAAATTTTCCCCTTCCCGTGAGAATTTCTGAGTGTTTTACTACAACAGAAACCTTCGCGGTCATACGGAATTTATACATTTGGTCGTCCATTTTTTCGCCGCAAGTCGACGGTAGGTAGAGCCGTAGTAGATCCAGTAGATCTCGCTTTGGCGCCATCAATTGGTTGTATTCGGATTTGAAATGGTGAAAAAAAAATTGTTTTACGTCTTTTCGTACAATTTTTCGGAAATTATCGTATATACAAACCTTGTCCTGATAATAACAAACACAACAAAAAAGGAATTATTTAATTTGGTGCAGCCGTTCTGAAGTTATTGGTATAGATCATATTTTTCAAAATTTTGAAATGACATGTTTCTACCATTAGCCATTTGTTAATTTTCGACCGCCTTAGTTACCATGGATACAACAAACAAAACAAAAGCTCCATGAATCCACGGCCTACTATTTAAAAACATTAAAAAATAAGGTTTTTATTGATTTTCATTGCTAAAATTACAAAGATATATAGGTTGTGATACATCAATGTACTTAATCAGGAATTATAATGCAAAAAATGACGTTAAGATATACAGGGTGTTGCTTTTAAAAAAATACCAACTTTGAGTTAAATCAGAAACGGTGGTACAAACATTTTTTGGTTACGCCAGGGTCGCGAAAACCGCAAGTGTCTATCTTTAAAAACAGCTGAGATACACTGCAGTCTCAACCAAAGTAGGACACACGGTATTTGAGATAGTGAAAATTTAAACAAAATCCCGGGTCCTATGAAACTCGCGCGAACCTAACGCAACTCCCCCCCCCCACTTTACTCTTCCCTGCGTCGGTTTTTCTCCCCGGCGCGTTGGAAACGTCTAGCCGTCCTGCGCACCGCAGCCTACCAGCCGTGCCAAAACGGCGTTTTCCTCTTTTCCTTATGAAAGATCCTTTTAACTCTCGGAAAGCGCATTTTTATTCGAAGTGTAAGATTCGGACTTTAACCTCACACGTGGTGAGTTCGAATCCCACAACTTGCCAGTCTTTAGTGCTACAGAAAAGCGTGCATTTTTTACTCATATCCCAAAAAAGTGGCTATGAGCACTAAAGGGGTCATACAACAGAACCAACCAGAGCAGAGGTAATATGTTTTATGTATTGAGCAAAAGTGCCACTTACCGTTACCTTGCTGTAATCAGTGCATACTTACATAGAGGTTGCGACATATATCGCCGTTTATATACAGCGTTGTAAGTTCAAATTGTCCCACGTACCGAGTTATCGCCAGATATCGCATTAAAAGAAAATTAGACCCTTCGCATACCATCTTGGATACGTCCTCCATTTTGTAGTACTTTTTATCCTCCAGCTGCGTAGTCGTGTGCGCGTGCTTTACATAGTAACGCCGTGGCTGGATCCCCACGTAAAGCATTTTCTCATTCACCTCGCCATCAATTATTATAAATCTACGACAAATGCGTCTCATATATAAGTTGTTTCTACAGGGTGTATCCTAGGTGATTTCTGAGCAAAAATTGCCCGAAACGGAACCAACGGAAAATTGACGACTCGCGTCTGTTTTAAAATTAGACCACCCATACGCAGCCCAAAAAAAAAGAGATGACATTGAATTATATCATGAAATACTGGCTATAGCACTTTTAAGGTAGTGAATATCTTCAGTTACGTCTGTATTTTGGACCTTACGCATTATGTTATTTTTGCTTCAAAGGAAATACTAACTCTTGTCGTTTTTCTTCCAGAGTATGAAAATTCCTATCCACCCACGCAGTTATACGGGAGCCGGCCTGGTGTCCGTCGACGTCAAACTCCGAAGAAAGATGTACCAGAAATTTACAATTTGTTCTTTCGTAACGCGGCTTGAGATTAATAATAAATTTGTCTAGTTCGTGGTCGGATAACGACTTTTTACCTGAGTACGACATAAGTTCTATTTATTCGTTAATTGTAAGCAAATGTAATTTACCGATCCTTTTGTCAGCTACCAAATTCGTAATCAGCTCAACGACACTTTGGCTTAGGCCGGACTGTTGGCGTAGAGGAGGATTTTTACCTTTCGCCGATTGCACGTCGAGACATAATCCGCCGACGACGGTCGGTAGTTGAGAGGTGGGGCAGGAGGTGAACGAACCAACGACTAGTGTCTCGCGAAATGTCAGTTTGTTGTATAAATCGTCGTCTGAAATGTAAATGTTTTTGTAAGGCATTATTTTGTTACATATTTATCTCAACAAATATATTTATTATACCTATCTCGAAGTTGGGGATGAGCTCCTTTAAGTTGAAAAGCGGGTACTGATTGTGCTCTCTAAGTTTTGCGTTGTACGCCTCAAGGTATTCGGCTCTACTTGCAATCTTCTCGATTAACTGTTCGATCATGTGACGAACATTGTGTAAGTATTCTTGATCGTTGTCGGCGAGGCCATCGTCTTCGGCGCAGAGATAGTCCTGTTGTTCCAAGTATTTTAAAATGTCTTCCGTTAAACTTCGCGGAAATTCCTCAGTTTCGAATTCCATTTTTTGACAACCGAAATACAAAGCGCCATCTACTCACGACAACATCGTACTTGCAACAAAAGCTAAACGTGACTCTTGAATGTCGGCGCCATTTTCAAAATGTTTCTCAATTAATATTCGTTTTTGTAATGGATAAATTTTCATGTCACGGCTAAGACACCATGAAACTAGCTTCCCCCGCCCCAGATTCGAAACTAACTGTACAGTTTTTAAAACAAGGTGTCAACACCCGGACCAACGGCACGGCGCCCTATCCGTCCTCTATATCACAACGGTTGAGTATATAAAAAAAGTTTTGATCACTCTTTTTGCCCGAAAGCGTTCGTTTATTAGTACACCAGAAAAAGTTTTAACACCGTCATTCTTTTTTTATTACAAAAGAGAGTAAAAAGACTTCACACTCCATCTCGGAGAGTGCAGACGGACCGCAATACCTAGACGTGATCACGTGTTTATTTTATCCTGAAAATTGGCATTTGTGTCATATTTATTATCTGAATCACTTATGAAAAATATCCGATTTACACCCTGTAGTGTTGATAACCCCCAGGTTCTACGCTAACTTCACACTACAA